CATTGGGCCGTCCTGGGGCCGTCTTGAGCCGGCAATGGTGCCGTCCTGGGGCCTTTTTGGGCCCTCTTGGGGGCCTTTTGTGGCCGTCTTCGAGCCTTATTAAGTTTTTTTTGAGGGGGGCGATTTGTTCATCTTTTGGCCCTCGTGGGGAGCCTCTTGGAGGCCTTGTGAAGCGTCGTTGAGGCATCTCGCGCCGGCTGGAGGCCATCAGGGGCGTCTCGGAGCGATATGTCGGCGAGCAAGGGCCTTCTCGGACCGTCTGGGGGGCCACTTGGGATGCCTTAAGGGCTGTTTTGGAGCTCCAGAGGGAGCCCCGGGAAGGCCGGACCCCCCCTGGTGAATTCGGCGGGGGGTCGTGCCGGGTTGGGGGCGGTGTCAAATTGCCGGTTCGGGATCCACGGGGGCGGTCTATGGGGGGTAGTCTTTCACGTTTGAAAACCACAAGGGGTCGTCGGATTTCTACTTTGTGGTCTGTAAGGAGGATGGGAACATCATCAACCCAGGGTTGATATCGCATCCGCTTGTGCCATACCGATGTTCGTCGGTGTGGGTGTTCGGCGGCCTTCTCGTGATCGTCGATAGGCCAATCGGGGCGGCCCCGCACATCGATGCCGCAGTTGCGAGTGCGTTCGGCTCCGTGTTGCGGGAGAGGGGGTGCGAAAGACATCGGGTACGTCCATTCGGTAAGCCGCAGGGGCACGCCAATCACATCTTCGCTGCGCGATTGGTGAAAGCACTCAGAGTGGAGCGTGTGGTGGTGGCGTCACGCGCGGCTGTGCCCGCGGCTGTGTTGTGTGGGGCTGCTCGCCGGGGCTTTGGTTGCGTTCGGTTTTTGCTGGTTCACGCCATTGTCGATGTCTCAGTTGTCCCAATTTGGTAAGCGAGATGCCCTGGTCCAGCTCGCAAGTAAACATCACTCTGCCGCTGGCACCGGAAGCCGTCCATGGCGCCGCCCAAAGGATTTTCTTCTGAGCGCATCTATACATGCCCCTGCCTGGAATGGCATGAAATCTCGATGATGTCCGCGGTTTCGCCGGTCCTGCTGCGTTGCAGTGGGTTGCGCTCGGTCGGTGTGATTAGGTTGCTTGTTGTGTTGCTGCGTCGGCGCGCCCTGTTATGCCGGCTGCGGCCTGTCGGTCTTGATCGGTTTTGGTTTCGTTGTCGGTTCGGTCGGTTTTTGTTTGTGCTGTAGCCGAGGCCGGCTTTGCGGTCGACACATCGGGAAGGCGGCTTCAGCCGCCCAAATATTGTTCCTTATGGTCGTTTTCCCTCTCCTTAACCTCGCCGAAACAAACCAAACTCGAAAATTTCTGCTGCCCAGAGCCTTCGCTCCTTGGTTTGTGAAGGTGGGCGCAACGATTCATTTTGTCCCTCCCTTGGTCATCCTCGCAGGAGATCGTCGGCGAAAAGGCCATGGCGGAGGAGCTGATGAGGGCCGAAGGCACGCTCGGCGCTCGCGCGGCATCTCTTGTGGGGTCTGCCGTCTCTGCCAGTGGGTTCCCTTGCATGACTATGGGACCTTGTCCATCCAAATGATTGCGGTCGGTCGTACTGGAACAGCTACGCAATCTGACCGACATGGCCACTCCGAAGATGCAACATGCCATGTGGATGCGGAAAACCTCGCCAACAGAAGCGTTCGGACGTCCGCTGACGATTTCCCCCGGACCTTATATCGTTCCCCAGAGGTCAGATTTGTCCCCCATGGAAAGTGTTTCGTCCCGGATCCGCTTCTGAGGGTCCTGGATCTTGACAACAGTTTTTGGAGGCCGCAATCTGGAAACAAACGGGATCGAAAACATCATACCGTCGGAGATTCGGGTCCTCATCATCTTGTCACAGCCTCGACCTCGACGCCGTGAAAAAGTAACAGCGTCGGAGGTCCAGGGGTGTGAGGGTTGTCCATGTCCGGGGGGGTCCTGCCCAGAATTCAGGCCGCTGCACCGGTGCGAAGGACTGCACGTCGAATGAGCGCCTCGCCCGCGTGCAGCCCCCTCTCCGCGGCCGTCCTCGTGGTCCCCCCGCCTTCTCAGTGCCAGTCTGCCGTGTCGCATCCCAGCCCAGACCTGCCCGCGCCGTGCCATCGCTCGCGCCGGGGCCGAGACCAGCCGCCGATGTTCGCGAGACCGCCTCAGGCTGCCCAGCCCGCGGGGCGGTCTAGTTCTATGCCTGTCCGGTGTTGACCAGATATTCAAGGGCCAACGCTGGGGGGGGGGATGGTCTCAGGGGGGCGCATCAACCCCCAATCGGGGGAGCGTAAGACCTGGGTTTGCCAGGACTCGGGTTCGCCATCGTTTTTTGACGACCGCGCCTCGGATTTTGACGAGGAGGAGTTTCGTGGGATGTCTGCAGCGGGAGGCCTCGTCAAAATGCAGGCTCGGCCTCGTCATTTTTTTGACGACCTCGTCGGGGATTTCCGAGTCCCCTGTACCTAGGTCTTACGTCCCCTTGACCCAAGCGCCCATCAGTCGCCGACAGGGGCTTGAGAGCCCCCCCCCCCCCGCCCAGGAGCGTGTGGTTTCGCTCTCGGGGGCCAACCGCCGACCCGTCGGTGGCGCGTCGCCGACTCCGGTCTTCCAATCAGGCCCCGGGGGGCCAACTAATGATCTACGTAATGGCCTTCGGGCCTTCGGTCCATCACGCCACCGTGCTTGGGTTGTGGGTGTGAAGCTTATTGGATTGGATGTTCGTTGGGATCTCGTGGGAGGCTTCTCGGGGGCTGCTTGGAGGCAGCTTGGACACCTCTTGGGGGCCGTTTGGGAGCCTCTTGGGGCCTTTTTGGGGCCTCTTGGGGGCCTCTTGGGGCCTTTTCGGGGCCTCTTGGGGGCCTCTTGGGGCGGAAGTCGGATCTTCGGTTTGTGTTCCATTTTGGGCTCCTTGTGGGGCCGTCTTGGGGTCCTCTGAGGTCGGTCGCGGCGCCTTTTGGCCTGTCTGGGGGCCCTCTTGGGCAGTTTTGGGGGCCTCGTGGGTCGCCTGCGAGCGTTGGGAAGCCGAACTGGCGACAACGCCAGAATCCTTCAAGCACCTATCACTCACTGATTTGGGCCTCTTGGGGCCCTCAGGGGAGGCCTCTTGGAGGCCTCGTTGGGCGTCTTGGTGCCCCTTTGGGCCGTCTGGGGGCCATCTTGGGCGCCTTGGGGCGATCGTTCGGCGACTCTGGGCCCTCGTGGACTGTCTTGGCGGCCTCTGGGGGTCCTCTTGGTTCGTCCTAGGGCCGCTGTATGTCCGAAAAAGTTTCGCGACAAGACTCGGCGAGCCCCAGGGGAACCGCGGGAAGCCCACGTAGAATTGAGAAGTTGCGGTCCAGCCCCTTAAGAGACTCCTCAGGAGTGAGGTCTGAGGCTCAGGGGATTGGGCAAAGGACTTGAGGACACGCCCACTCCGTGCCCAGAGGCACGGTAACGGATCGAATGGCCTTCTGCCCAATGCCAATTATCTAATGGTTCAGAGGACTCGTCGATGCATACAATACTAGGGTCTCTTCGGATATCTCTGGGGGGACTCTTGAAGGGCTCTTGGGGGCTTCTGGGGAGTGGCTTGGGAGCCTGCGGGGGCGAATTGGGAGGCCTCTTTGGCGCCTCCTGGGGCGTCTTCAGGGAGCCTCGGGAGCCTTTGGGGGGCTCTTGGGGCCAACTTGGGGCGGAATGCTCGGCATGTCATGTTCTGATTCCCTCTCTTTGGGCCCTCTTGGAGCCCTCTTGGGTACCTTCGAGCCGTCTTGAGGGCCTCTTGGGCCGTCTTGGGGTCTTCTCTTAGGGCTTTCCTGAATGTCTCCTGGGCATTCCTGGGGCGCGATTGGGTTTTATCTGGTCGTCTTGGAGCGCTGGAAGCCGAAGAAGGCTGGCAACCGTCAATCAGCTGAGGACAACTAACGAGTCTGCCCTCTCAGGGCCCCCTTGTGGGGTGCTCTTGGGGCTCCCCTGGAGTTGCCTTGGGGCCTCGTTGGCCGCCCCGAGGCCATCTGGGGTGCCTGGGAGCGGTCCTATAGGGGCGACCGGGGCCCCCCCCCCGTGGGACATCCAGGCCCGCTGGGGGGGGGCCTCCCGGGCGGGGCTGCCGTCCTGGAGGCCCACGCGGAGCAACCAGGAAGCGCCCAGGAAGGCCCAACTACGCACGGGAGCTCTCGGGTCCGGGCCTCTGCATGGCTTCAGAGACCTCTCACGGCTTCGACCAACCAGCGAACGGCACCACCCCGCCCACGGGCCCTCCACGCTGCGCTGCGGCCCCTCGGGCGCCGCAGCGCATGCCGCGCAGAATCCCGGGCAGAAATGCGCGGTGTTTGCTGAGGCCCGGGGGGCCGTAGGTGGGGTGGTGTCGTTCGTTTTCTGGTCCACATCTCGGGGCTGCATGAGCCTGTGGGCACTCCACTACGTGCTCGACGCACGGTAGCGGATGTGTGTATGTATAAATATACATGTATATATGTATGTGTAGACAGGTATATATATATATATAACCATATCCATATCCATATCCATATCCATATTCATATCCATATCCATATCCATATCCATATCCTTCCTTTGCCGAGGTCTCCGAAGATCGATCCCCCCAGGCGGCGGTGATGTGTATGTTGTTTTTGAATACGGGGTCCTGGGCTCGGCGGCGAGCGAGGGGGGGAGCCGAGAAGGAGAAGGCCTTCTCATGAGGCGGCGGGCCTTCTCAGAAGCCATCGCGCTTTCTGAGAGTTTTTGTTCTGTCTCCGGGGAAGGTTTTAGCTTTCTCAGAGGTCCAGGGACTTCCGAGCCTTCTCGGAAGGCCCGCCCCTCTCTCACTTTTCCCCCCTCTGCTCTTCGCCGATGGAAGTCCCGAGCGCTTCCCCAGGATCAGGTCTTCGCCCCGAGCCGTTTCTTCACGGCCCTGGGGCCAGGCGAGGGCCCCCGTGGGCGGAAGACGGCCGACAGACCTGCCCTCGCGATGCTTCGAGCGCGTCTTGGAACGTCTCCGCCTCTCGCCGTTGGCCCCCGGGCCGCCGCGAGCGCGGCCAGCCTCGCGCCGCGATGTCGCTGCCGTCCGCCGAGGAGGCGAGGGCGGCGCCCGGCGCCGCCAGGCAGGTGGCCGCGGGAGCTCCTCCTCCTCCTCCTTCTCAGCCTCTTCCCTTCCCCCTCCTCCGCCTCCTTCTCCTCCTCGTTCTCCTCCCTTCTCCCTCCTCCTCATCCTCATCCTCTCCTTCCCCCCTCCTCCCTCCCCCCTCCCCCCTTCTCCGCGGGGGACCCCCGCTCTATGAGACTCGTATTGCTGCTCTCGCTGAGACGGGCAGACGGAGGGAAGCAGCTGCGATACCTGGCAAGGTCGCCGAATGTTGTGCTGTGTCGAGCACGCGCCGGAGCCATGAGCTGCTGACGTGAACTGGGTTAACGGCGCCATCCTCCTTGGAGTTCCAGTATTCAGTATCCCCTCCCACTCCCCTCCTTCATTCCTTGTCCTTATAGATAACTTCGCCCTGTCGCACCCCGAGGCCAGTTTTTAGGGCGGGCCAGGCATTTCGCCTGAGACTTCCTCACCATGTATGATTCTGAAGCTTCAAAAAAGTGGCAACAGTTTCACATATGGAAGGCGGGTGGTTTTCAACATGCGGCTCTCGCCGTAGCGCCGCGCACATTCGTTTTGAACATTTGCAAGAGTTTCACGGATTGAGGGCGGTTCCTTTTCAACATGTGGTTCTCGTTTCAGCGCCGCGCACATTCGTTTTCAGCAAGAGTTTCACGGGTTGAGGGCGGTTCCTTTTCAACATGGGGTTCTCGCTTTAGCGCCGCGCACATTCGTTTGAAACAGTTGCAAGAGTTTCACGGGTTGAGGGCGGGTCGTTTTCAAAATGTGGTGGTTCTCGCCTTAGCGCCGCGCGCATCCGCTTTAAACATTTGCAAGAGTTTCATGTATTGATTGCGGTTCCTTTTCAAAATGTGGTTGGCTCTCGCTTTAGCGCCGCGCACATTCGTTTTCATTTAACATCTTCAAGAGCTTCACGTATTCCCATGGTCAACGTACAAGAAATGGTGTACTTGAAAGATTTAGGATTATCCGGGTGCAACAGTTCTATTGATTCGCGGTTTTGAAGTCCCAAAAACGGCGTTCTGGCGCGATTCCAGATCGTCAAGACGCAGCAGTCAGCTTGATCAGTGGCGTTGAAATCCCGAGAACAATGTTTTGGCATGTTTCAAGATCATCAAACGGTTGTCTTCCAACGAGGTAGTTCCCCCAATGGAAATGAACCGTTGTATGGGCCTACGAAGAAGGAGCTTGCAGGGAGGGTGAATTCCAACATCGTTGGTGACTCTTCGGTTTACACTGGTCCTCCTCCTCCATCCCCCCTTCCCTTCCACCTCCTCGTCCTCCTACTTCGGCCCTCCTCCTCATCCCTCCCCTGTCCTCCGTCTCCTCCCCCCAGCCTCCTCCCTTGTGAGGATATCATGCCAGGTCCATGACATCTCCCAGGTTGTGTGGCCCCGCTTTTTATTGCTAAGGCCTAGCGGCCGGTGCCGCCGACCCTGAAGACGACGACGGCGAATACGAGGAGGAGGAGGAGGAGGAGGAGGAGGAGGAGGGGGATTCAGGTGGAAGGGAGCAGGAGAAGGCGAAGGAGATGTTCCCCATGTGGGCCGAGGGAGTCGTAGCAGAGACAGACAGGGAGCTTTGTGGCCTGCGGCCCTTCCCGCCACCGTGCTGGTGTTGTGGTTGAAAGGGCTCTTGGATGTTTTCGGTCCTGTTGGGGCCTCTGTTGGACCTCTTGGGGGTCTCTTGGGGGCCTCTTCGGGCCCCTTGAGGGGCTCTTCAGGCCTTCCGGGGACTTCTTGGGGCGGGAAGCTCGAAATGTCGGTTTGTGGTCCTCTTCTTTTGCCTGCTTGGGGCCATCTTGGCGCGTCTTGATGCTTTTTTGGGCTCCGGGACGCTCAGGGGCGGATGCGTATCTGAACGCCCCCCCCCCGGGACCCCCCCACCTCTCGGCGGGGGAGGGATCAAAGGGAAGGGGCTTCCTTTCGACTTAAGTACGACGTTGCTACGGTTTTCTCTCGCTGGCAGGCTTGAAGAGGAGGGTGCAGGGAAAGGGGACGACGGAGACGCAGGGAAAGAGGACAACGGATTCGTCGACTGAGCGCACGCCGACAGGGGGTCCACACGCCGACAGGGTCGGCGGATTTCTGCACGTCTCCTGCCCCCGTCAATTTGACGGCCCAATGCCAGCTCCGAGCTGGCATCATCGGGACTCGGGGGCACGTCCGAGGGGGCAAGGCGAGGGGCCAGCTGTAAGAGGGCCCCCGCCACGAAGGTGAGGGAACCACTCTTGGAATCGTGCCGTACCTTGGGGGACGTCCATTGACCGTCTCACCGATGCTGGCCGCGCCTATTCTGGGCCCAGGATCGGTGCACACGCCTTCCCGACGAGTTGGCCATGAAGGCATGCACGCCGATCCTGGACTAGGATCGACTGTGACCAGGGCCGGCGAGGTGGTCAGGCGACGCCCCCCGATCAGCCCGTCCGAAAGTCGCCCTGCCCGCTTCGATAGCAGCCCCACCCTCACCCGGGGCGCCTTCTGCGCGCTGCCTCCCAGTCTCGATCTAGGCCTGCTAATTACCTCTTAGATGGGTCGGAGCAGACTGGGTCGGAGGATCGCGCTGCATCGCCGATGCATCGCCGACGCGGCTCGATGTGCAGCCCAATTTGCTTTACGTCGACGTCGCCGATGCATCACCGACGTCGACGCTGCGTCGCCAGTATATCGCCGATGCATCGTACGGGCGATGCGGCGCGATCTACCGACACCATCTACTCCGACCCCATCTAGGAGGCCTCTACTCGAGGTGGTGCAGGGGCTGGTGCGCGAGTCCCTGCAGGAGGCCTGGCGGCACGAGCACGACACGGAGGATCCCGGAGTCTCAGGCTCAATTTTCGCGTTCTTGCCTTTGCTCGGGTCGTGCGGAGCATCGGGAGGGAGAGGGGCCGCATCGCTTAGCATCTTGGTGTTGCATGGCACTGCTTCAAAACCGAAGCGAAACGAGACCAAGGAACCCGGGAAACCTCGGGATCCGAAGAAGGCCAGAAGGCCGGCATCCCGAAAAGAGTGAGGAAACACAGCCAACGGAACCCAGGGAATCCGAGGAAGACTGGTTGGCGCAGGCTCGATACTCACCGGTGTTTCAAAGCACATGTGAGAACCCGATAGGCAAGCTAAAGCTCGGAATACGGCATTATATTTCGAACTAAGACCGCTGCATAGTCTGAACGATTCGCTTTCGACATGTGCCACTGCTGTACAAACAAGAGGTACTGCCGTTTGCAGTCCTATCTGTGACGAGATTGCCCCTCTTCACTCTTGCGCCGACACTGTGCAGTTGTGTCGCCTACGGCACGGACGTCGTCCGGGTGTGTCTGTCGGTCCTGCTCGTCTCTGGCGGTGCCTTGTCAAGACTCACACCGAGTGATTGACCTCTGCGTGTTTATGGTCGCGCCGCCGTGCCACTTTGGCTGCGCTTACTTGCTGGTCGCCACCGGGATCTCCACGCCACCGGGTTGGGAGTTTCTGGCTCTTTTTCTGGGTGGCTGCCCGCGCGCTCGCTTAGCTTGCCTCTCTTTTCTTGCTGCCTGGTCGCGGCCCGACTAGTGTTCGGACGGCTTTCGACCTGCTTCGCGAGCCTGCAGACCAAAAATCCCCAGAACCGATGGTCAGGGGAGTACCGGGTCAGCGCGGCATCATTTGGAGAGCTCGACCAATCTCCGTCGGCCAGAGGCTTCTTGGATACCTTTTCGGAGTCTCCTGGGATCTCTCTTCGAGGCTTCCTGGGACTCCTGGGGGCCTCGTGGCGGTTCGCCGGGGCCTCATAGGGCGCCTTGGGGCCAGGGGGTCTCTTGGAGGTCTCTTGGGGCATCTTAGGGGTCCCTCGGCTGTCTTTAGCCCCTTGGGGCGTCTTGGGTGCCACAACGGGGCCTCTTTGGGGGCCATGTTAGGGCCGCTTGGGGGCCTCTTAGGACCTCGTGGGCGACGCCAGGGATTAGGTGCACTTTAGGTGCACTCTTGGGAGCATTCGGCCCCTCCCGGGGCCATCTTGGAGCCGATCGGTTAACGAAAGGGGGGTCCTCAATTGGCGGCTGCCGTGCTCCCAGCAGGCCGACATGGACCCAACACAAATGGAAACTCATTTGCTTTTGCATTATGATGCCTTCTCGAGCGATCTAACGACCTGCGACCCCCCCCCATTTAGACCCAGGGGGAAAGGGTCGGGGAAGGGGCCAAGCTATCCCAAGCCGCAGGCCGCGTCGCTCACTCTAATCAGCCCTCCCAACACATAGGCAGCATTCCAGCCTGGGGCCCCGATCCCACTTAATTTGTTCGGTCGGAAACTCAGTGCAGACAATATGAGGACCCCCCCGCCGTTCCTGTCAAACACCATGCGCAGTGATCACAGATCGCCCGCGCATGATCCCGGTGTTGCCGCAATGTGCATTGTGTAGGGGTTTCGCAAGGGATCGTTCGCTTGCACAAAGCAGCAAATGTGAGGTCACCCTCCCGCCGCCCCCTTCTGCCAAATACCAATGCAGAATGGTCACGGGGCGTCCGCGCATGAACCAGTTTTTGCCAATGTGTGATTTTTGCACTGTGCGTTGAGAGGGGTGGTGGGTCTGCGCAGAGCAGGCAGTTTCATGGCACCGCCTCCGTGCCTGTCCGGAATCAGTGCGAAGCGCTCACGGGGCGCCCGCGCACGGTCCAGATTCTGCCGCAAGGTACACGTGATGCAGTGCTCCGGCAGGGGTGGCAGGCCTGCGCACTAGCGGGCAATATGAAGGCCACCCCGCCAACCCTTGCACAAAACAGTGCAAAGTGATCGCGCGGCGCCGGCGTCCGTGCATGATCCAGATTGGGAGGGCCTTGCGGCCGGTGCCGCCGACCCCGACGGGGGACGACGACGACAACGACGACGGCGGCGGCTGCGGCCGCGACGACAACGCTGACGCTCTGGAGCAATTCTCGGGCCTCGCTTCGGGGGCCTATTGGGGGACTTCTTGGGACGCTCCGTGGCCACTTGGAGCCGCCTCGGAACAGATCTGAGGCATTTTCGAAGAATGCAGGGAAGCACGCAGCACGCCTGCGAAAGCACGCGAGGCCAGGAGCCTTCAGAAACACGCCCGGGTGCGCCCTCGGCACTGCCGCCGTGCGCGCAGGTAGCCGCACAGGGATGCGCACAGGGATCCCCAGGGAGGTCCTCATAGGGATCTTCATAGAGATCCGCGTAACGGCGGTGGTCGCGGGCAAGTTGCGGTGCTCTCAGGCACTTGTGGCGTTCGTAAGGGAGAAACAGAGAGATATAGAGAGATAGAGAGAGCAATAGAAGGAGAAGGACGACGACGACAACGACGACGACGATGACGACGAGCATGGAGGAGGGATTTTAGGGAGCATGCCTCTGGCACGCCATGTGGAGGCAACGACGCCTTCGCAGACATGTGCTCGCCACAACTCTTAGTCGCTCTTCGCAGTCGGTCGTCGTCGTCGTCGTGGTCGTCGTCGTAGTCGTAGTCGTCGTCGTAGTCGTAGTCGTTGTCGTCGTCGTCGCTCCTCGTTGTCGGTCGTAGTCGTCGCCGTCGTTGTCGTCGTCGCTCGTCGTCGTCGTCGTTGTCGTCGTCGTCATCTTCGTCGTCGTCGTTGTCGTTGTCGTCATCGCTCGCGGTCGCTCGTCGTTGTCAAACGTTCTCGAAGGCTTTCGAGGGCTTCTGCAGGCCTTCGGATGACCTCGGGAAGGCCTAGACCTCCGAAGGCGTCGCTCGTCGTCGTCGTCGTTTTCGTCGTCGTCGTCGCTCGTCACTGTCGTCGTCATCGCCGTCGTCGTCGTCGCCTGTCGTCGTCGTCGTCGTCGTGGTCGTGGTCGCTCTTTGTCGTCGTCGTCGTCGTCGTCGTGGTCGCTCGTCGTCGTCGTCGTCGTCGCTCGTCGTCGTCGTCGTCGTGCTCGCGGACGCTGTGGTGGCGCCGGAACCGCACGGCGGGGGTGGCGTTACATTATCCCCCCCCCACGGGTTCGACACCCCCCGTAACGCCCGTTGTCGCCGCGAATGAAGACAGGCGTTGTAGCACAGGCACGCGTTAACTCCACGAGGCATGGAGACAGGGAGATTCGGCTGTGACAAAGCCTTGGCCTGGGCAATGATGTACTGCATTCGTGCATACATACATACAGCCAGACGGACACACAGACACACAGACATACACACATATATATATATATATATATATACATATACATATACATATACATATACATATACATATACATATACATATACATATGCATATACATATACATATGCATATACATATACATATACATATATGCACATCTATATATATATATATATATATATATATTAAATAAATGCGTGTGTGTGTGTGACTACACACCTAGTGGCCTTCGGCACATCCCGCCACCGCTCGTGGTTAGTGGGTCAGAGTTCTCAGGGATACTTTTTGGGGTCTTTTCGGAGCGCTCTCAGGAGCCTCTTGGGGGCGGTGTTGGGGCCTCTTGGGGGGCTGTTGGGGGACCCCCTTGGGGCCTCGTGGGGCCCCAAGCCGAGGGCTCGACATGCGCGTTCGGGTCCCCCATCTGGGCCCCTCTTAGAGCCCTTTGGGGGCCGTCATTTGGGCCGCTTAGGCTGTCCTCGGCGCCTCTTGGGCCGTCTTGGGGCCCTCTTGGAGGCCTCCTGGGGCGATTTGGGGGGCCTCTAGGGCTGTCTGGGAACGTCGGGAAGCCGAAAAGGCGAGAACGCCAAACTTTCAAAAACTGAAGGACAATTAATGATTTTGGCCTCTTGTGGCCATCTTGGGGGGCCTCATGGAGGCTCCTTGAGGCGTCTTGGAGGCCTCGTGGGCCGTCTTGGGGCCATCGTGCGCGTCTTGGAACGATCGCTCGGCGACTTGGGGAGCTCCTGGACCTTCTTGGGGGTCTCTCGGGGCCCTCTTGGCCCGTCTTGGGGTGCCCATTGCTCCGAAAACGTCAAGCTGGGAGCGGCGCCAACTGGCGGGAAGCCCTGAGAGATTTGTGAATTTGGGATCCGGGTCCTTGAAAGATTCCACAGGAGTGAGGATTGAGGCTCAGAGTACTATACGTGCCTACTCCGTGCCCAGCGGCACAGTGGCGGATATATGCTGAGGAGTTCTTGTCGGAGTTGGGCGCCCTCGTCGGGCTGCACCTGTCCGCCCTGGCGGACCCCGGCGAGGGCACCTTCGCCGGCGCCGCGCAGGAGCACGAGGAGGCGCCGGGCGCTCGCCGAGTCGACGACGGCGACGACGACGACGACGACGGCGACGGCGACGGCGACGGCGACGGCGACAACGACGGCGACGGCGACGGCGACGGCTGCGGCGACGGCGACGGCGACGGCGACGGCGACGGCGACGGCGACGGCAACGGCGACGACGACGACGACGACGACGACGACGACGACGACGACGACGACGAAGGGGGGGACGACTGCGACACGGTCGCCATGCAGGAAGGTCGGGGCTCGACGATCGATGTGGAACGTGGCACTTGGGCGCTCGAAGATCCTAAATCGGCATTTACATGAATTTTTCAGATGATCGCACGGACCTCCGAGATATTGTGCTTATGCCATTCGTTGTGTCACTACTGAAGGACAGATGGAGGCCCGAGGATCGATACCTTGTGATAATGTTGGCTCCCTTATTGGGCATCCGGGAGGCCTCGCGTCACCTCCACCCGGTTCCCTGGGACGTCCTGGCCCGAGCGCACCCCATGACATGTCCAGGGGTCGACTGTCAATCCACGATCCGTGTGTTGTTTTCTCATTCCGGCATCGGGGGACAGTTTTTGGGCGCCAGGGCCATCAAGCAGATGGCCTGGACGAAGGACCGCCCCCAGGGAAGGAGTCGAGACCTCTGGCTGAGGCCGCGGAGCGAACAAGTCTCGTTGACGGATGTCTGGAACGACTCCTGAAGGAAATGGGTCCTGGAGTTGTCTTCCCGTTTTCGGTTCTCGGGCGCTCCACGGGCCCCAGGACCACCAAAGAAGGACTCAGCATGCAAAACTGACCCCAGGGGAATTCTGCGGCGTCGTGACCTGCTTCCTGGAAGTTCGTTCAAGTTCGTTTTCTTCATGCTGTGCTGCTACGACGATGGTGACGGCTCGCATCGGCTGGATTGGCCTGAAGGTCTGTTGGGAGCGCACCCCACGTCGTGAACAGATGTCGGCGGCCTCAGGGCCCTGACGGGGTGCCGCCTTGAACCGATGTGTGGAAGTTTGGGGAGGACATCGTTAAACAGGCAACAACATTGGGCGCATGATGTGTTTTCAGTGTGATCTGCCCTCCCAGGGGCGTCTTGAGTCTATCCTTGGTTCTATGGGAGGTATATTTGGGCCATCTTCGGCCGCCTTGGTCTGGGAGCTCTACAATATGAGCAACTTTCCCCGAGGGGAGTCTGGCATCCTTGCCTCTCGGCCCATGTTCCAGACGCTTCGTGTAACGCCACCAGCCCATCCAGAAAAGATGCCCAGACGAGTTGCTCTGATCAGGGACGTGGATCTACATGCAGAGGAATAAAAAAGGTTGGGTAAGACGTCGTACCTCGAGAGGCAGAGGACGGAGGAGGAAACAGAGGATGAGCAAGAGAAGGAGAAAGAGGAGGAGAAGGTTGAGGGGGAGGGGGAGGTGGGACACGAGGAAGGAGGATGAACATGCGAACAATGATGAGGAGGAGGAGGGGGGGCTCCTTAACCAGGGTACCTCCCCCAGGAGGCCAAGATTCTTTGCAACGCTACGTGGTCGACATCTCTGTCTCGTCGTCCGCTGCTGCTGTACAGGTTTCGTCTAAGTTGTCTAGCCCCGCTGCTAGCCTCCTGAGAAGCCGGCGGGCCTCGGAGGGGGGTATGGGTAATGTGTGTTTCAAGTGGGGTGGGGGTACGGGTAGTATGAGTTTCAGCCTCAGCAGGGTGTTTATTGAGACTGCTAGGCGAACGAGGAGACGATCTCGATCCCTCCCAGTGAGTTTGTGGACAATTTTCCCCTTCAACGCCCCCGATTTGAGGCACACAGTTGCGGACGTAAGCTCGCTTCGCAGGAGTGGCGTTGCCACCGCCCCCGCGGCACTGAGACGGCACAGTGTGGCAATCTAAACCGTCGCCGCACTGGCGCAGTCAGGAGTCGATGCAACTCTGTGAACGCAAATGTCGTCATGCCTGTCCAGGCCGCGTGGCCTACAGTCAACCCGCACAGTCAGGGTGGTCAACCTTCCCAAGAGTACCCTCGCATCCTTGCCTCCTCGGTCCACCCTTCGCCGCTTTCGCTGGCCGCGCCCCGCTCGAAAAGTTTCGGCATGGGCGCCCGAGGCCCTTGCATCCTCATCGCGCATCCTTGCTGTACTGGTTGACTGTACGCACCGCACCATGCCACTCCTCACGCGCCACGCAGCGCGGCGCCGCGCCCAGGTGCGCCTGGAGGCCTCTCCGGGAGCATCTTCGTAAACGACCCTCGGCCCGTCCAGGCCGTTGCTCGGCCGATGCGCTGGCAATCTGCAGCGAAGCAGGGGCGGGCAGAGCCTGGCCCCCTCCGACATCACGGAGACAGTGCGTCGAGTGGATTGCGCCGTCTGTATATCTGAGGACAACCTGGAAATTGAAGGCACATGCTTGCCCCTCTGTGCGAGGCTGGCGTGAGGTAAGGGAGGGTTCCCCCCGTCACCCCCGAGAGACTGCCTAGATGTGGCATCAACGAAGTTGCGAGGATGGGTTGGCATCCCCAAGAATTACGTTCCCCTGGCACGCGAGATGTGGCCCAAACCCAAGTGAAACCTTGCCTTCTTGGACGCTTGGACGCCTCCAACCCCTCGCTACAAGACCTCATCCAGGTTCAGGGGAGGAGGAATGGGAGAGGGGTAAATCCCTCCTCGAAGGGGAAGGAGTGGGGGGTTGGAAGCAGACGCGCCCCAAAATCACTCACGCCCAGAGGGCTGGCGGGATTGGCCACGGGCCACGGGCTTCCGGCTTCGGCTTCACTTTGGATGCCCAGAGGCCTTGCATCCTCATTTGACCAGCCTGGAACCTATCCCTATCTGTATGTTGGTCGGGGGCAAACGAACCTACCTCGCTTTTGACCACCCTCGCTTCCAAGAGCTACCAAGCGGTGCCGAACTACGGCACGCACTGGTCAGGCCGCTCGACGGGGAGGCGCGTGGTATGACTTGGTTTTGCCTGGAAGCGTAAGCGGGGTAGGTAATTCACGCTCTGAGTTGGGCATCGCCGCATCACGATGGCGATATTAGGGCTTCCCTCAGTTTCTGAGGGTGCATCCCTAAGATTGTCATCGCCTTTGGGCGTGCCAATCTTAGGGATAGGGGTAAGTTCGAGGCTGGTTATCACTGCGCATCTTTATCGTCCAGTCGCATGGTATAATTTCTCGCACCCCAGGCGCTCGGCCTTCAAGGAAGGGAAGGGGAGGAGGGGAGAAGAGAGGGTGGAAGGAGATTCCAGGCGGTGCCAGGACTAGGACGAATCGCTCCACAGCGCTTTCAGAGCGTGCCGGAGCGATCTGGAACTGGCCGCGGCGCCCGACACATCGTCCCGAAGCACCAAACGGTGGTGAGTCAGTGCGGATTCGGGGTCACCGCACGGTCTGGGGTTCTTGGGCCGTTCTCCAGGGACGTCTCGAGCGGTTGGGGCCTCCAGGGTCCCAAAACCGCGCGGTGACGGAACGTGCGGTGAGGTCCTGCGGGATGTCGAGGTCACCGCGCGGTCTGTCACCACACCGTTTCGATATCGCCAATCGTCTTACGGAACGATCGGAATCGATACAGCAAACAGTCAGCCGTTCTTGTCGATGTTGAATTGGAATCACCGTCAGTGTCGCGGACGCTGTCCTTCTGAGGCAGAACATCGCCAGTCCAATAGCGACCGCAAATTGGTGCTGGACAACTTGTGCTCATTCTGTCCGTGTCCATTTCTGGCGTGCCCTTGAGCCTCCGCCCACCAAACCACCCCAACCCAATCCGAAGGACCCGATTTGCCCTCCATTTCCTTTGGCGGGGAGGTCGGGGAACATTGACACATACACATGTGAAGCCCGTACCCCCCTCCAACCCGACAGTCGGGTCTTCGGGTTGGGTTGGGGTGGTCTGGGAGGTAGTCATTGAGGTGGGCCCCCTGTAGCCGCTCGATCCCCCTGGTGCGCCTGCCCGAGCGAGCGCCTGCCGCCGCCGCCGCGCCGCCCGCGCCGCCCGCTTCGAGACAGCCCCGCCGCGCCCGCCCGCGACCGCGCCCGCGAGGCGTGCGCCGCCTGCCTGAAGCTCGCCCGCAACCTCTGCGCCGGGCGCCCGCGCGTGCAGGACTCGCGCCGTCCTCGTCGCTCTCGTCGGCCGTCCTCGTTGGCCGTTCTCGTTGGCCGTCCTCCTCCGTCGTCCTCGGCCGCCCTCGCCGTCCTCGTCGGCAGTCCTCGGCAATCCTCGCCGGCCGTCCTCGTCGGCCCGCTCGACGGCGCTCCCTCGTCGTCCTCCCAGAGACCAGCCATCGATCACGAGCTCCTCCGTCCTCCCAGGGTCCACGTCGATCCGACCGATCCGATTCGATGCCGGCTCCAGCCTGCTCGATCCTATGCGATTATGATGTTCGGCCGATCCGACGCGTCCCCTCGGCCTCGCGTAAGAGTGACCCTTCACCGGCGTGACCTTTGGTGCGGGCTCACCGGGGTCCGCTGGCCTGCGCGCTTGGATTTGGCGCCGCCGCGGCCCCCCAGGGCTGCGCACGAAAGGTCACTCTTGTCAAGAGGCACTCTCGCGTGGGGATCCTCGTCGCCGTTGTCGGCCCTCTCCTCGTCGTCGTGGACCGCCCAGCGGCGTTTACTCGCCGTCCTCACAGCCTACCCATGGCGAGCGGCGTGTCAGCGACAACAGGCCCTTCGGTGCACAGATTGCCGCGTCTCGGAGGGGGCCAGCTGAGGCAACGAAGGCTCTCCCTGGCGTTGCTCTTCTTGGAGGTTGGGCCTGCCAGAGGCAACTCTCGCCATCGAAGCTGGATCCGTGCCCTTCCGCTCGCGGTGATGGCGAGGAAGAGCGGCACCGCAAATTGCAAAGGCCTTACGGCCAGTGCCGCCGACCCTGAAGGGTGACGCCGACGACGGCGGTGGCGGTGGCGGCGGCGGCGACGACGACGACGCTGACGTGGGCCCGAGTCCTCAGGGATGTTTCTGGGGGTCTCTTGGGCAGGCTCTCGGGGGCCTCTGAGGAGGAATTTGGGGGTCTCTTGGGAGCCTCTTGGGGGCCTCTTGGAGGCCTTTTCGCGTGTCCTGGGGGCCTCTTGTGGGCTTCTTGGGGCCTCTTGGGAACAGCGGCACCGCAGATGTTGGGCTGCGGCGGCCCCCTCCCAGGACTTCTGGTGGCGCAGCGGGACCGTGGAGGCGCTCATCGCGCGGCTGAGGGAGGACGCCAGGCTCCCCGACGAGCGCGACCCTGCGTGGTGCGAGGCTCTGGGGCAGCAGCAGGGACGCTGACACACTGATGACGATGATGACGACGATGACGACGATGACGTTGATGACGATGACGATGACGGTGACGATCACGATGATGATAATGATGAGGATGATGATGAGGACTATGAGGATGCGTATGAGGAGGATGAGGATGAGGATGATGATGAGGATGGCAACGACAATACTGTTGATGATTAGGAGGATGATGATGATGAGGATGATGACGATGATGAGGATGATGATTATGCTGGTGGTGGTGATGGTGATGGTAATAATGATGATGACGAGGATTCTGATGCGGAGGATGCAGATGACGCTGTCGAGGATCAGGATGACGATGATGATGATCCCGATGATGCTGATAATGATGCCGAGTAGGTCGATGATGAGGATGCGGATGCGGATGATTATGATGGTGTTGATGCTGATGCTGATGCTGGTCATGTTGTTGACGATGATCATCACGGTGATCATGATGGTGATGTTGTTGATGCTGATGTTGATGCCGAGGGTGTTTGTGATGATGAGGGTCACGATGATGACGATGACGACCATGATCATGATATTGATGATGCTGCTGCTAATGATTATGAGCATCCTGACGATGAAGGTGAGTATGTGATGATGGCGATCATGTCGAGCAGGATGGTGGCGACGAGGAGGAGGATGCGGATACTGAAAATGGTGCTGTCGATGCTAATCATGGTGATGAGGATGCTGATGACTACTATGATGATGACGATGACGCGGCTGAAAGTGAGGATGATGATGCGTATGCTGACGATGCTACTGATGGCAATGCTGATGATGATGCTGTCGACGATGTTGGTGCTGATGAGTTCGATGATGATGAGAGGGATGGGGATGCTGATGATCATGATGATCATGATGATGAGGATGAGGATGTGGATGATGACGATGACGATACTGCCCTTGATGACAAGGAGGAGCATGAGGGTATGGTGTGAGGATGAACAGGGTAAAGAGTATGGTGACGAGGGTTTGGTGTGAGGATGCAACTATGGTTGATAATTTAAGACGATGATGACGCCCCTGATGAGGACGAGGATCGAGATGAGGATGGTTATGAATGGGCGATCACGACGACACCGACGATGGCAACATGATGTTGATGACGTTGATGATGACGATGACGATGACCATGAGATCGATGAGGACGAGGATGAGGACGCTGATGATGATGAGGAGGAGGATGGGGACGAGGATGAGTATGATGATGATGAGGATGATGAGGATGGGGAGGGGGGTGAGCATGATGATGTTGATGATGATGATGCTAATAGTGATGGCGATGATGATGTTGGGACGGGTGCGGGTAATAATGATGCGGATGAGGATGACGATGTTGAGATGATGGTGATGATGATGATGATGATGATGATAGTGATGAGGAGGATGCAGAGGAGGGGGAGGATGGGGATGATGATCACCATGAGGATTTGGATTAAGACGAGGATGGCGATGCGGATGGTGATTACAAGGGTGATGGTGCGGATGAATCTGATGATGTTGGTGAGGATGATGATCATGATGCGGATGTCGAAGACGAGGATGCTGAAGATGACGATGCTGTCCATAATGATGAAGAGGACGAGGCTGGTGATGATGGCGATGCGGGTGTATCATGAGAATGAGGATGATGGTGCGGATTCGGATGGTGATGATGATGATGATGACGATGGCGATGGCGATGACGATGGGGACGATGAGGACGACGGGGATGCTGATGAGTAGGAGAGTTAGGACAATGATGAGGATGTTGACGATGAGGATGATGAGGATGGGGATGGGGATGAGCATGATGATGATGATGACTACGATGTTGATACGGATGAGGGTAATGATGATGCGGATGAGGATGACGATGTTGATGATGATGATGAGGAGGAGGCGGACGGGGAGGATGAGGATGATGATCAACATGAGGATTCGGATGAGGATGGTAATGATGAGGGGATTGATGACGATGGCGACGATGATGATGATGTTGATATTGATGCGGATGCGAATGATGAGGATGATGATGATGCTGAGGACGAGGATGATGCTTCTGAGGATGATGCTGGTGATGCTACCACTGAGAATGGTGATGATGCTAGTCATCATGGGGATGCTGATGATGATGATGATAACGAGGATGCTGATTGGAATGGGGCTGATGATGATCATTATATCGATGAGGACCATGATGATGCTGATGACGATGATGATGAAGATGATGCGACGGATCGGGATGACGATGTGACGGAAACGGATGCAGATGGTGATGTTGATGATGTTGATGATGATTGCGATGGGATCAGGATGAGGATGATAATGTTGATGAGTGAGATGATGAGGATGAGAAGGAGGATGACGATGCTGTGGGCGATGGCGATGATGTTGCTTGCTCGTGGTTCTGATGATGATGTTGATGATAATGATGACGGTGAGCATGCTGATGAGGCCTTTGATCATGATGAAGAAGATGATGACGATGGTGCTAAGGGCGATGACGATGGTGATTACGATGGTGATGATGATGATGATGATCATGATGATGATGATGTCGATGATCATATGGAGGAGTAGAAATCTGATGATGATGGGGGGCGAGGATGTGGATGACGATGAGGGTGTTGATGATAGTGATGATTATGGTGATGATGTTGCTGATGATGACTGTGATGATGATGATGATGATGATGATGATGATACGAAGATGATGACGATGATGACTATTATGGTGATGATGATGGAGATGATGACGCCGATGGGCACGATGATTAGTATGAGGATGAGGATTCTGATGATTCGGACGATGTCGATGCTGATGATGATGACCATGATGATGATGTGGATGGAGCTGAGGACGGTGATGACTGGGTGATGGCGACGTCGAAGAGGGCGAGGAGCATGATGCAGATGATGCGGATGCTGATGATATTTATTGTGGTGCTCACGAAGCGGATGATGGGGATGAAGCGGGTGCTTGTGCTAATGATCTGAAGATGGTGGTGACGATGATGTCAACGACGATGGTGATGATTGTGACGATGATGATGATGATGATGATGATGATGATGATGATGATCATGATCATGATGATGATGATGCTGATGACGACGCGTCCCTGGGCGAGGTGCCGGTCCCGTGTCCCGATCTGCAAGACGTAGGCGACTTGGGGCTCGATGTGTCCCCCGATCCCCTGGGCCAGTCCCGGGAGTGATGATGGTGATGATGATGATGATGGTAGTGGTGGTGGCGATGACGATAATGATGATGATGATGATGATGATGATGATGATGATGATGATGATGATGATGATGATGATGATGATGATCATGATCATGATCATGACCATGATGATGATAATGATGATGCTGATGATGATGATAATGATGCTGATGATGATGACGGCGACGATGATGATGACGATGACGATGATGATGACGATGACGATGACGCTGGCTATGACGAAGATGATGACCATGACTATGAGGACGCTGGCGACGACGATGCTGACGAGATGAGAGCGATGCTAATGATTATGCTGATGATGATGATGATGATGATGATGATGATGATGATGGTGATGCTGATGCTGATGCTGATGATGATGATGATGATGATGATGATGATGATGGTGACGCCGATGGTGATACATATGATGCTGATGCTACTGATGTTGATAATGACGACGAATGCACTAATGATTGGCATGCTGGTGACGATGCTGACTATGATCATTTCCCTATCACTACCACCATTTTTGTCATATTCACACCCACCATTGCCGTTATCCTTTTTATTCCCTTTACCACCATCATCATCATCATCATCGCCAACACCATCACCATCATCATCATCAGCAGCATCATCGTCGTCGTCGTGGTCCTCGTCCTCCTCGTTATCATCACCATCCTCATCATCACCACCACCATCACCATCACCATCACCATCACCATCATCATCATCATCATCATCACCACCACCACCACCACCATCATCATCATCATCATCATCATCATCATCATCATCATCACCACTCTCGGGACTGGCCCAGGGGATCGGGGGACACATCGACCCCCGAATCGCCGATTGCCGATCGGGACATGGGCGCCCCACCCCGCCAAGAGACGCGCGGTTTCGCCATCGGGGGCCCCTCGCCAGTCTCGTCGGCGCTGTGTCGCCTGCTCTCCAGGCCATGGTTCCCTTACTGAGCCAGTTCCCCCCCCCTCCTGTTCTCGTGCGACGAAGTCTACAGATATCCACTGCTCCCCGGCCGGGCCCTTTCTGGGCCCCGGAGCTACGGTCTCATCGCCAAGTCAGCAGGGCGTTTCCCGTACGCGCTGCTGCTGGGTTCAGGATAGGCCTGGCCAAGCAGCAGCGGGTATGTGTTGATTTCGTCGCTCTATTGTTCGGCTCGCCTCAGAGGCCGTGCCCAGCTTCCTCACCAACGCCGTGGCCGCCAACGAGGCGCTGAGGGTCCGCGCTGTCGGCTCTCGCGGGCGGCGAACATCTCCACGCCCTCGGGAAGACTCAGCACCCGAGCGCCTCACCGATCCTGGCCTGGCCATGCTGGGTCCAGGAGGCTCTCGAGAAACAGACCCCATCCCCTCTGGGTCATGGTATCTCAGCCCCACCATCCCGCCCACCCTGACGGGGACCCTCGAAGCCCGAAGGGAACAGCTTGTGCCCCATTCCAGGGGGGTAGACCGCCCAGTGGGGACGAGGGTCGGCGAGACGATGCTCACTGTGTCCGCGGTGCCGCGGCCGAGGAGTCCAGACGGCGAGGCCAAGGTGCCGATGTACCGATGCCCTTCCCTCACGATCGCCTTTCTCGGGCCCCCCGCGGGCGGCCCCCGCCCTCGTGGGCGCGGCTGCATTCGCGCCGGCAGTTCTTGTCGCATCGCACCCTGGGGGAGGTCCAGGGGTTCACGGTATGGGCATATGTTTGTTCATCCAGGTGTGGGCGTCGAGCAAAAGGGGGACTCGATTGGAAGCGGGGGGGGGGGCGAAGTCGCCCACAGGCAAGTTTGCTTCGGCCCCGCCACCAGGCACCTGCCTCGACGCATGGGCGCCTCTGGCGCCGGGGGGGCCAGCTACATACGTATCGCTGGCCCTTTGCTCACAACCCACATTGCGAACCCCCACATTCCCCCTCCGACCTGAGACATGTTTTTCGCCCGCGGCGCTCGTGGTTCCCTTTCGCGATGGCGACCGCCTGCACGCTCTCGTCGCGAAGGCCGGAGCTCGCGTTCATGCTGGTGCAGACGCTGCTTCCTGCACCAGACCCCGCGGGCGGCGCCGCGCCGCAGCCGCTGGCGCTGCTGTCCGACACGGAGGACGGCCACTGCGTGCTCTTCGTGCTCGCCTCGCTGCTGTTCCGCGGGGGCGTGGGCATCCGCGAGCGGGAACCATATCCGTACCCACAGCTTCGCGGGCCACGCCGCTAGGCCGCAGTTCCGCGGGTGCGGCGCGCGTTTTCGCGGATGCCTCGCGCGGAGGGCATCCATGCGACCCCTTGTCCATGGGATCGCGCCCCAGAATCCAGACCGCGAGGGCGTGGATATGGATATGTTCGCCGCTCGTGAGGCATGTCCGAGAGCCGGGAGGCGGTGAGCGAGAGGGCGTGGGAGTGGGCTTCCATCTTCATGCAGTCCCTGCTGACGTCGGGGGGGTTCGTCCCCGCGTACCTCGGGGTGCAGCGGCTGACGGTGGAGACCAGGGGAACACCAAATACACACCGTCAGCGATCCTGACCAGGACGATTCTGGGCCCAGGATATGTTTGGAGATGTTTGTGTAAATATAATAGGTACACATACATAAGACATGATAAGCTATGTCTAGTGGCCCTCGGCCCATTTCGCCTCCGTGCCTGGGTTGTAGGCCAGAGGCCTCTCGGATGCCCGTGGGGATCTCTTGGGAGGCCTCTGGGAAGCATCTTGGATTCTTTTTTGGGGTGCCTTGGGGGCCTCTCGCGGGCCTCTGAAGGGTCTTTTTGGGGCCTGATTTGGGCCTCGTGGGGGCATGCTGACGGTCTCGGGGGCCATCTTGGGGCGAAGGGCTCGAAGTGTCGGTTCGCGTTCCCCCTCTGCGGCCTCTCTTGGGCCCCTCTCGGGGCCAAATGTGGCCGTCTTGGGGGGGCGTCTTGGGCCGTCTCGGGGCCATCTTGGGCCGTCTGGGGGGCGCTTCTGCGGGGCCTCTTGGGGCGCTTTGGGGGGCCTCTTGGGCCCGTCCTGGAGGGTCGCAAGCCCGAAGCAGCGAGAGCAGTGATGTCACGTGGACAGATTCTGAGGGCATCTGAAGCCGGCCAGCGTGGGCCCCGCACGGCGATAGCCCTGCAATCACTGAGGTGCAGCCTGGGTGGTGGAATCCACGCGGCGCAGTGTAATCCCTCCTCCTCCTCCTCCTCCTCCTCCTCCCCCTCCTCCTCCTCCCCCTCCTCCTCCTCCTCCTCCTCCTCCTCCTCCTCCGATGTGGTGCAAAGCATCGAAATGTAGCGCAGTGCAGACAGCGTGACATGCGATGCAAACGCATACAACGTATTGCCAGGCCGTGTAACGCGATGCGAAGCAGCGCACAGCAGTGGAATCCAGCCCGGTTGCAATGCAATGCGATTGCAATGCAGTGCGACGGCAAAGCAACGCAATGCAACGCAATGTGATTGCAACGCAGTGCAATGCGACTGCAATTCAACGCGATTGCAGTGCAACGGGAGGGGGTGCAATGGGGCGGCGACGGGCGGGAACATTGCCGCTGGGCCCACACTCTAAAGTGAGCTGGGCATGCAGGTGAGTGGGAACGAGCGTGCGCCCGCGGCAGGTTGCCTCAAAGCGGCCGGCCGCTCAGATCTGATTACACCTCAGCGCGAGGTGCACCATTTGCCATCGAGACCAACATATCCTTTGCTTGAGATGGCTCGTCGCTCCCGCGACAATCTCCTACTACTGGGACTACCGCAACTAAGGTGCAACGGAGCTGGAGCTGGGCTTCGCCTAAGGCGAAGCTGCTGGTTGGGCCTCCCAACCCGCTTCAAACTGGGTAGCAGAGCTGGCCTATGGTGGTCAGCTCTTGCTCTACCCCATCACCATCCACGGCACTATCTAGTGGACTACTGACGTGGTGGAACATCAGGGTGCAGTGGGTTTGCGCGGACGAATGTATATAACTACGCAACATAGCAACGATACTTGCAGTGATACCTTTGCCTACGCAGAGGCCTCTTAGTCGCGTCCTACATCCTTGCGCTACTACACTGCAGAAGTCCACCCACCTACGCCAATTGGAAACTTCTCCGAAGACATACTTCGCCGCTGCGAAAGTTCGGCCAACATTCATCGCCTCCCGTTAGGCGACGGGGCCCCAGTACAACGTTGGCAGTGGGTCCGTTAGGCCGCGGGGCCCCGGTACAATGTTCGGTTGAAGCATGTTTCGCTCCAGTCTCGGGCGGCACCGCCCTTTCGAAATCGAGCCCGCGGGTTTCGAAATCCAGTCGAGCTCGTTTTGGGGAGGAAGGTTGAGGCGAAAACCACATTTCGAAATCGAGCCCGAAGGTTTCGAAATCCAGTCGAGCTCGCTTTGGGGAGGAAGTCCTAAACGAAAGCTGCATTTTTCGAGTTTTCGGGTCAGGGCTTTTTAGAATTTTACATGCCAAACGGTGTGGCCATTTCGAAACGGCGGTTGCGCTTGATACTTCCTCGAAAAAACGATTTCGAACGATTTCGAAATTTTCGGGTTTGATTTCGAAATGGCGCTCCCGCCTAAGACTTCCGCAAACATTGAATTCGAAACCTTTCTGCTTCGATTTCGAAATGGCGTTCCCGCACAGGACTTCCCCAACAATAGAAGTCGAAACCTTTCTGCCTCGATTTCGAAATGGCGCTCCCGTGCAGGATTTCCTGCAACATGAGGTTTGTTGTTTAGCTGAAAACACAAACGGGCCAAAACTTTCGTAGCGCCGATGTAATGCATGGAAACATGCGATACGACATCGTGCCGCCTCCTCCCTCACGCAGGCTTACGACCACACACCGCAAACCCCAACCAACCACATCCGAGTACGACCTACGAGGCCATTGGATTGGTATACTTACCTTTGGGCCCACATGGGTTGCTATCGGGTGCGCGGTGGGACACATGCGTGGCGGAGACGACGCAAGAACGACCGGCCCTCATTGGGACCCGTCCGGTGAAGTACATTTTCCGCGAATTCGCTCGCGAGGTGTATGCCTGGATCAACGTGGCCACAGGCACCATGGCGCCCTCCCAACAAACTGCAGCCTGGCAGCGAAGCTTGGGAGGCCTCGCGCGGACCATAGCCATGAGAGTTCCCCCAGCAGTTATCGGTATCGCGCCTCCCGGCTTCTTGGGGAGACCCCAAGACGCCCAAGGACAGCCCAAGACGACCCCAAGGAGCCCCCAGAACGTAAATAACGGCCCAACACGCTCCCGCGTAGCCCGAGACACCCTTCCAACGGCTCTCCAGGCCTCAGGCCTCCAGAACCCCCAAGGGGTCCGGAAGATCCCGCACCCCTGAGGGGCCCGGCTAACAAAACCCGCGAGGCACAAACAACAAACAGCGCCAAACAGCGCCGAGGAACTCCAAAAAAAATTGCAATCCCACAATTCATTTTTTTCCTCATGTTTGGCCCCTGGTCTACTCTTGCACAACAGACCACATTTTAGACCCCCCTCACCTCCCAAAAAAGAACCCAGGAAACCATTGAGGGCCCCAAATCGTTGAATACCTAAAGGCAATTAATGATTTCTGCGTTTCCGCACTTTCCATTCTATACGATTCCGAGGCTTGCGCAGGGCCTCCATGGGAGTCCCTGGACGCAAGAAGCGACCAACATGGTATTTCATGAGTTAACCGATCAAGCCTTGCTAGAGTTTGAGCGCGCGTGAAGCGCGCGCCGGTTCTGGTGTATATACAAGCAAACATGCATACATACATGCATGCATGCATACATACATACATACGCACAGACACACAGACATACATACATACAGGCATGCACGGCTGCAAGCATACATACATGCATACACATACATGCATGTATAGACACACACACATACCTACGCACACCTACATACATGCATGCATCCATACATACACACATGTATCGACACCAGCATGAATGCAGGCATACATGCATGTATGCACATGCGTACATGCATACACGCAAACATGCATGCATGCTTACATGCATGGATGCATACATCCGTGTGTACAAGCATACATACATTCATACATGCCTACACGCACCCATACACACATACATACATACATACATACATACATACATACACACATACACACATACACACATACACACATACACACATACACATATACACACATACACAGATACACAGATACATACATACACACATACATGCATATATGCATACAGACATACATGTGCAGTTGCATGCATGCATATATACACACATGCGTGCATACATACATACATGTCTTCATGCATAGATGCATACATGCATACATGCATGCATACATGTGCATGCATGCATGCATATATACGCCCATACATACACACATACATACATACATGCATACATACATACATACATGCATACACGCATACATACATACAAGCATACATGCATACATGCATACACACATACATACGTACACACATACGTTGATGAACACATACATGCATACATACATGTACGCACACGTACACACATGCATACATACATACGTATTCACATACCTACGTACATACACACATGTATACGTACATCCATACACACACAAAAACACATACATACATACATGCATACATGCATGCATGCATCCATACACACATATGTACACATGCATGCATGCATGCATGCACGCACGCATGCATGCATGCATGCATACACACAGACATACACACATGCATCCATGCACATTCACTCGAGGCCTTCCTGCCCGAGCCAGGCGGGTCTACCCAAGCCAGGAGGGCGCACACGCCGAGCCTTGGCCTGGAGCGGTGCAGGTGCAGTAGCGTTGCCGTCCTCCGAGGAGACGCTGCACGCGTTCTGGTGCTCCGCCGTCGGGCTCCCCACGGGCGTCAAGGCCACGGCGCCCGCCGGCGTGCTCGAGCGGCTCGTCGGGCGCCTGTGCCACCGCTCGGAGGTGCCAAGCAGTGGCGAAGCGTCCTGGCGTGCCCACAGTCCTACCAAACAATGTTCTAAGAACCTTTTGCGGCTCCCACGAAATATTCTTTGAACTTTTTCTCGCTGGGCCTGCCTTGTTTTGTCACATCGGGCTTATGTTCTAGGAACATTGTTTCTGTTCTTAGAACACTGTTGGGTTCTAAGAACATTCCGTGGTAGGACTATAGGAATGCCGGGACGGTCGGTCCCTGCTCAAGAGGTGCTCGGGCTGTTCTGGCACTCCGTGAGCGGCCTGGACTCGCCCCCGGTCGCCGAGGCGCTGCTGGCCGACCCTGGTCTCGAGGACTCGGCGGAGGAGGTGGAGGAGCAGGCGGAGCAGGAGGAGGAGGAGCAGGCGGAGCAGGAGGAGGAGTAGGAGGAGGAGGAGGAGGAGGAGGAGCAGGAGGAGCAGGAGGAGGAGCAGGAGGAGCAGCAGGAGGAGGAGGAGGAGGAGGAGGAGGAGGAGGAGGACCCTGATCTCGAGGACTCGGTGGAGGAGGAGGAGGAGGAGCAGGAGGAGCAGGAGGAGGAGGAGGAGGAGCAGGAGGAGGAGCAGGAAGAGGGGAGGAGGAGGAGGAGGAGGAGGAGGAGGAGGAGGACCCTGCTGGGTTCTTCGCCGCTGCTGGGTTCTGGGTTCTTCGCGCTGTCATGGTCCCAATGCTCAGAGGAGGAACATGTACCCAGACCTCCACCCTTCGCCCGTTTTCCCTTTGGGGGGCCTTTTGGGAGGCCCTCGTCGCCACCGCTGGATTCGCCTCGAAATTCTGGTCAGAACGTACCCTGGGAGAGGGCCAGGGAGTAGCGGTGTCGGTCTCTCTTTGTATCCCTAAGTGTACGCCACGAGAGTTCCAGGGCGTGGCGGTGTCGGTACCTTTTTGCGGGTGTTGCTAGAAGTGCCCCTGGCCCAAGGTTCCCCCATGATTTTCAAGGAGGCCCCCACGGCTTCCAGAGCATCCCTCACGAGGCCCACGGGGGCCCCAGGAGCTCCGAAAATGGGATCCCTCAGCTTTTCCGATTCTTCGGCTTCCCCGAGGACGTGGCCGCGCGGGAGCTCGCCGGGTCGCTTGCGGCGCTGGCGCGGGAGTGGGGCCTCGCCTGGCGCCCGCCGGCCCCGGTGCCCACGGAGGCCCTCGCGATATCCACGCTATAGGAGTTGTTCTCAGAGGTTCTCGGAGGCTCGCGGGACCCGCGGCGGTTTTCACCTGAGTTGCGCCTCGTCGAGGGCCTTCCTGGGGCTGCCAGGATCGTCCCGAATGGCCGCCCGAGACCCGAGTTGTGATGCGGAGGCCTTTGTGTACCATCATGAGTGCGCCTCGTCGAGGATGTTTCTGGGGATGCTGGGATCGTCCCGAATGGCCGCCCGAGACCTGAGCTACGTTGCGAAGGCCAACAGCCACGGGGTCAGCGCTCAAGACAGGGGTCAGCCGCTTCCCTCCGAGATCTTCTGGCTGACCCGGGCTTGTCGGAGGCGAAACCCGAACCCTGCCCTCGCCGACTAGCGGTCCAGGCAGCTCGTTGGGCGGCGGCCGGGGTTGAGGTTCGGAATCCGTCGAGCACGTGGCGACAGCTCCGAGCCCCACCCCCGCCCCCCACCGGTGCAGGAGGATCGACGGTTGGAGGGGGCAGTGACGGGTTTGTTTTCCACCACCACCACCATAAGTTGGAGGGGGAGGGGGTCCTCCTCCTCCTCCTCCTCCTCCTCTTCCTCCTCCTCCTCCTCCTCCTCCTCCTCCTCTTCCAGCTTATGGTGGTGGTGTCGGGAAACAGGCCCATCAGGCAGGGTTCGGACAGCGTCCCCCCGCCGACCTGGGCGGCGCGGCTGGTCGGCGTCCGCGGCGCGGCCGCCCCAGAGAGGCGGTGCGTCTGGTGTGGCCCGGGGTCGGCCGGCATCGGGAGGTCTGCGCCAGTGGAGGCCGAGGCGTCCTCCGGAAGGGTCTGTGCCATGCGCGGCCCCGGGGCTCCCGACCCCTTCCCCCAAGGTCGGGGGCGGAAAAGAGGGGGGTGATGACTAGGGGGGGTGGATCTCATGGCGGGGGCCATGATATTTCCCCAGATTGCATGGCGCCTCTTCTTATTTCATTACGTCCCTGGCCCCCCCCGCTGGGCCGCGCACATGCCGCCGGTCATGATTTGCACCCCCCCCTCTTGGACACCCCCCTCTTGGCCGCTCCCGACAAGGAGTCCCGCGTCCCACATCCATGCTGGATGGCCCCGAGGCCCAGCAGCGGCCCCCAGAGGTAGAGGCAATTAAGCAGCCTCGAGCGTATCCCTATCCCGCGGATCGACAAGCCCGAGGCGAGGGATAGTCTCAGGGAGGCCCCTTCAGAACGCCGAGAGAATCCTCAGAGTGATGCCAATCACGAGGATGGGGATCTGTTTCGGGCTGGTTGAGACAGGAAGGAGACGCGCCGCGCTTGAAAACATCATATCGTCTGAATCCTGGGAGGCCGCGGTCGATCCGCGCGGCGTCAGAAGCCCACGGACAGGCCGTCACAGCCGACCCCCAGGCTTGAGTGCGCCCTCGAGGCGTGCCTGGCTTTCGGCGTGCAGGAGAGCGAGGTCGACGTCCGCCTGCTGGCGGCTGGCGCCGAGGAGGACGGCCTCGGGGCATGCGGCGGCGAGGCTGGGGGCGGCCGAGCCGACCACTTCCGTGGCGATTCCGTGGCCGAGCCGATTACTTCCGTGGCTAGTTTGTCGTCACTTTTGGCATCGGGAGGCCAGTTCCAGGCCGTGGGGCCGTCGACGGGAGCGAACCCGAGGTGCGAGCCCAGCCCCAAGAGAATGGGTCGCAAGGCCCGGAGTTGGGAGCGCGCATCGAGCAGCCCCTTCCGCGACGGCCCCCTCGCTCGTAACCCAACATGGCTCCCCCCCTACCCCCGCGTTTCTGCGGTGGTGGGGCAGGCTCATCGAAGGGGTACCGCGACTCGGGGTGAGCGTTTGGGGAGCTGCCCACGCTCCAGCGCCAGCCTCGCAGGTCGCTCAGATGTCACCCCCCGCCCCCGCTCACAGCACGCCGCCTGCCAGGGGTTCCCGCGGGTGCCGCCGTCGGGGGTGACGGTGTCATTCTGGGTCATCGCTCGCTTCGCTCCAAGGCGCGGGCGGATGGCCGGGGTGGGGGGGTTCGAGGGCGAGGGGCTCGTCACGGAGGAGGGGGCTCGCAACGGAGGGGCGCCGGGTTCAGTCGCGCCCGCAGAGGCGGAGGGCCGCGGCGTCGTCTTCGGCCAGTTGCTCTCTGCCCTGGTGACCCTGTCCGGCGGCCCTGCGGCAGGCCGCTTTCCCGCGCGCCTGGCGGCGGTCTGCCTGGCAGCCTGCGTGTCCTTCCTGGACGCCCTGCACCGCCTGCGCTTCGGGGAGAATGTGGAGGAGTCGAGGGAAGGAACACTCCAGGCTTGGAGCTGCACTGCAGGGCCGAGGTGGCCCAGCACTGGTTCCGACCAGCAGAAAGGGGGGGAGGAAAGGACACCCCTCGTCGCCACGGGCGAACGCGGCTCGAACAAGTGATCAGTTTCAGCGAATTTGTCTTCATCCCCCCTCTTGACCGATTTCCTCCAGGCTCCTCCAGCTCGGACCCCCTGGCCGCCTCCAACCCCAGGCCTCCCAGATGCGGCCAAGGGGCGCAGATGGTGTCGGAGTATCGCGTGGTGTCGGCGATGCGGTGCGGCGTGGATTTGGATTTCCTCCACGTTCAGGTCGGCGATGCATTGGCGATGTATCGGCAATGTGGCGCGATCATCCGACCCCATCTACTGGGACCCCATTCGGGAGGCCTCGAAGCAGGACGACCGTGACGGAGATGTCGCGTAATCTTGTGGATGCCGATCTTGGTCCTGGTCCATGCTTGCCGTCGCCGACTCGCGAGGACGATTCGCGAATTGACGATGACCCAGGCGGACGATGGCCAAGATAGCGACGTTTCCGCAGCTTGCCTTGGTCCTCATCACCGTTCTCGTTACCCCCCGAGGAGTCCGTGGCGAAGAAGGCGAAGCCGCCTCCGGAGGCCGTGGAGGCCTCGAGGGCCTGCTCGCTGATCGACCAGGTGCGCCTGTGCGCCAACCTGCTGTACGAGAGGCGCGCGGCCCAGGATTTTGTCCGGCACATAGGATCGGCGCCGCGCACGGGGGGGCGACGCGAGAGGGGGCGGCCTTCGGAGAAGGCTGGGGGCCTGGAGTCTAGAGTCAACCCGCACAGTAAGGACGGGCAACCTTTCCAAGGGTACCCTCGCTTCCTTGCCGCTTCGGCCCATCCTCAGCGACTCTCGCTGACCAACCTCGTTTGAAGAAAGTTCCCATGGGCCTCCAAGGCCCTTGCATCCTTCCGTCGCATCCTGATGATACGGGTCGGCTGTAGACGGCAGGGGCCTTCTCAGAAGGGTCTGTAGGCGTCTACGAGGCCCCTTCCTGCCTTTGAGAATCATGGGCGGGGAACAGATGTATCGCGGACAGGCACCTGGGCCGTGACATTTTGGCCGCGACCCCGTGGATAGAGGCGTAGCTTCGCGGATGCCCCTCGCAGAACGTATGCTTGTGCGTTCCTACGAAGCATCTAAGGGCGAGCTCACCGAACAGGACGCAGATGGAGGTGCCAGCGCGTGCGCGGTGCCCTCGTGGACCGCGCTCTGCGGAGGTGCGCTCTGCTGGCCCGTGTGGAAGCGGTGCCCTCTGCATGATTGCGAGATCGGCACGTGGCCGTCCTCTTGTTGCGCTGTGCCGCCGGGCGCGACTCATCGGAAGCGTTGGGGCTTGCGGCGGCAGGGAAGACGTGGCCGCGGGGGGGAAAGCCAGCGCTGCGCGGGCACAGCTTGACGTCCGCTTGCATGTTCGCGGGCACGGGTCAACAGGGCTAATTTCGATTCCTCTTCCCGACTCGGCTGCCGATCTCCGCCGATCCGATTCATTTCGATCGCCGATCCGACTTGTCGATTCGATTCTGGGCTCTCATTGGTCAAGGCCGTCTCGGAAGCTCTCCTTCCCTCTCGTGCGGCGGGCCCCCTCTCGCTACCCTCTGTGCGCGCCGCCAGCAGGAGGCCTGCGCGTGCTCCTCTGCCACTGCTACGCGGACGGGGAGCTGCCCCTGCTGAGGGAGGTGGGCGTCTTTGCGGTGCGCAACGCGTCGCACGGCAACGCGGAGAACCAGGAGCCGAAGACGATCAAACGAGATAGTCAACCGAGAAGGGCTTTCGATGATGGCCCCCCACTGAGCTCTCGGCTGGGAATAGTCGCACCTCCCCTCCTCGCCACTCAGCGAGGAGGAGAAGGAGGAGGAGGAGGAGGAGGAGGAGGAGGTGGAGGTGGAGGAGGACGAAGAGGAGGAGGAGGAGGAGGAGGAGGAGGAGGAGGAGGAGGAGGAGGAGGAGGAGGAGCCCTCCCCTCCCTCCTCGCCCTCCTCTTCGCTCGCCCTCCTCGCCCTCCCTCCTCGACCTCCTCTCGGCATGTGCTTCGACGTAGGCTCGCAGCCCCGCGCGGTTTGTTCTCCCTCGCGGGCTCCTCCCCTCACTGCTCCTCCCCTCGCAGTTTGTTTTCTTCCCGGGGCATGTTGTGCACGTGTGCGGCTAGGCCTTGATCGAACGGTTGGGATAGGCCTCCCGAGGGGCACCAAACTTGTTGTGTTCGGGGAGGCGTAAATATAGGTTATCTGTGTCGAGCGATCCCCACCCGAGAACGCGAGGCGGGATTCCCGGGACCGCGTGCATAGCTTGGGCCTGGCGGCCGCGGCACGCAGTAGTCCGTCGTTCGTCGAACACACGAGGCGGGATCCCCATGGAGCACCGCCACATTTTGGGGCTGGCGGCCGCTGTATCTATCGATATGCGAGGCGGGTCGGGAGCTCCTTTGCATCAAACCTAACAGCCCTAACCTACCAGGTGGGGAAACGTCAACTTTCGAAGCTCCGCGCAGATTTCGTGGATATGTGCTGGGTCCCCCCGGCGGCGCCTGCGGCGCCGCCCTTGGCACGCTCCGCACGCCAGGAAGGGGGGCCCTCCGCCTATCCAAGAAGTCCGCGCGGAACTCCAACATTTCATGTTGATTCAGTGGAGCGACGCAGAAAAAAACGGGTTCGATTGCGCCGACATTCGCGCGTAAGCTGCCACCCGCGCAAGGGTTCGCGTAAGCGCCTTTATTTCCAATGCGGCGTGCTGCGCTGGCGGCCCGCGTAAGCCACCGCGTAAGATCGCGATGCCATCGTGCGTGAGACCCCCGGTTGCCCAGTTGCTGCTCTCCCTTAGGGGGTCATGAGGGAGCTGCTGGCGTCCCGCGCGGGCGACGGGCCATCCGCCGACGTGTTCGACCCCGTGAGCGGGGACCTCGTGTTGGCGGAGGCCGAGGCCGGCCTCGCACAGGACTGAGCGGCAGCCACGGGCCCTCTGCACGCACGAAATGGGTACTGAAAGAATGGGTACAATGCCCAACAGCAGTTCCTGTTCATTCTGAACAGGACTCGCTGTCCGCGCCGCCGCGGCCTGTGTCCACTTGAGACAGGAGGCCGCCTGCCCAACAGCGGCCGCTGTTGGTTTGGGAAAACATTTGTTGTTGGGCATTGTACCCATTCTTTCGGTACCCATTTCGGGTGTCCAAAGGCCCAGCCAGGTCGGGGCGATGCCCAGCCAAGCGCGCAGCAGCCGAGGCCCCAGCGGCCGGGGCGGTGCCTGGGCGCGCGGTGCCTGCCCGAGGCCAGGGGCGGCCGACCCCTGCCGGACATCCGCCTCGAGACTCTGCGGTTCAAAGATTCGGGGGAGGAAAAGATACGGATACGTGTTGTCCCCCTTCGTTTTCGGCCTTTCCTGGTCCTCCTGGGGAATCCTCGTTGTCACCGCCGAATTCGCTTCGAAATTCTGGTCAGAACGCACCCCAAGAGAGGTCCGGGGACAACACGTATCCGTATCTTTCCGCCCCCCAAAAGATGGGGCCCCAGTGCCAGGAAAGGGGAGTCGAGCTGAGCCGTCAAGGTGTGAGGCTCCTCGTGTCTTTGGGGCCCCATCCTCAGGGCCCATCCCTGGACCGCCTCGAGAAAGAGCGGGTTGGCAGGCCTGTGGCCCTGTTCGCCTTCAGTCGAGGAACCAGCATGCGCATCGTGCTTCGATGGTCCCTGCGAATTTCTCGGATCGGCGGTCGACCCCCCTGGCGGCGGCTCCGGCGCCGTGCCAGGGTGTGGTGCCCAGCGCCGATCCACGGCATCCGCCCTGAGCTCCGAGAGTGTATGTCTCTGCCGGCGCTCCGTCCCCGCTGCCGAGGCGGCTGCTTCTGGAGTGTGGGGCCGTGAAGAAAGCGACCCCTGACGGAGGAGGAGGAGGAGGAGGAGGAGGAGGAGGAGGAGGAGGAGGAGGAGGACGAGAGGCCTTGAGTGCCCGCGCAGCGAACAGGGCGAGGGGCCCAGGGGTAAGTCGGGCCTGTCCCTCTCCAGGAGGAATATCCAGAAGTAGTCAAACAAGAGAGTCTGGGGACGATGCTTGGACTGTTTTCGACTATCTGGGAGCATTTGTTCCCTATTTTTTATTTTTCGTCCAAGATCCGCCTGTAGGGGGACACGCCCGACCTGAGCCCAGGGCCGGCAGGCCAACCCCCCTCCGAGACGGCCCCCCTCGCCTCGCTCCGCGGCGCGGGCGGGCTGCCAGCGCTGGGCCTCTCGAGGGCGAGGGGCTCGTCACGGGCCGGGCTCGGCCGCGCCCCAGGTGAGCGACGCAAGGAGACGGGGTCGTTTGCGCCGACACTGCCGGGCCGAACGAAAGGGGGGGGATAAGGAAGAAGAAGGGGTGGGGGTACGAAATCTGCTGCATGCAGCTGGTTTCGGCCCCGCCGCCGGGCCCATAATCAGCTACGTGAGCTGATTCTCAAGCCCCCCTTTGCTATCCCCCCCTTTCGCCCAGCCCGACATTGGCGCGCAAGCTGCCCGCAAAGGGTCGCGCGTCGGTGCCCTCGTCTCCACGGTAGCGTGCCGGTCGGGCGGCCCGCGTATAAGCCGCCGCGTAAGGTCTCCATGCCATCTCGCGTGAGACCCGCTTCTGATCGTCGGTCGCAGGTCTGCCAGGTCTGCCGTCCGGCCGGGCGGCGGCGGCACGCTTCGAGCCCGGCACCGGTCGGTGTACAGAACGGAGGCGGCATTTGCCGGTGTACAGAGCGGGGCTGGCGGAAGAGCTCAGAGGAGGAAAATGTACCCATAGCCCAAAGTTCTACCCCTCGGCCGTTTTCCGTTTTTTAGGCCTCTTGGGAGGCCCTCGTCGCCACCGCTGGATTCGCCGCGAAATTCTGGCCAGAACGGACCCCAGGAGAGGTCCGAGGGGGTAGCGATATTGGCACCTTCTCGTTACCCCAAGAGCAGGAATCGAAAAAACATAGATCAAACGCCAGAGGCATAAATTTGTGTCGCTCCGCGCGGATTTCTTGGATCCGCGCTGCGTCCCCCCTGGCGGCGCCTCTGGCGCCGCCCATGGCGCGCTCCGCGCGCCATGGTTTTGGCGCTCCGCGCAGATCCAAGAAATCCGCGCAGCGCGGAAACTGTTAATGTTTATGTCCTCTTCTCTTCTTCACAAGTGCGGAGCAGGGAGACCGCCTCTGAGATCTGGGCGTCGCATTTCTGTTCGCGTTGGGCGCTTCCGCTTCAGTTCGGGCCCCTGGACCATCACAGATCGACTCGGCTCAGAAATGTTGTGGACAGAAATGAGGACTACCCTAAGATGGGCATTGCCTTATCACGGTGCCGATCTTAGGGGTTCCCTCAGTTTCTGATGGGCGCGTCCTTGGGATTGCAATCGCCTGAGTCCTGCCAATCTTTGGGAAATGGGTAAGCTCGAAGTTGGTTAGTTCAGGGCTCCAGCCTTGATTTCCATACGAGGTTTCAACTTCTTCGTGACGTCGGATCTCAGGGACGCCTCGAGGCCGCCGTGGCTCATGCGCGCAGCGGTGCCCGGGGTGCCTAGGCTCCCTCTCCCGTGAGGGAACCGAGGCGGCAGGTGTTGTGGCAATTTGTTCGGCCTCCCCCAGCGGGTGCCCGTCATATCCATGACTTCTTTGCGATGCGAAACGATCTCGATGGAAGGTTTTTGCAGATCTCCTCAACACGGGGTCCCCCATCCAGCCCCCCCCGCCCCCGGTTCCAGACCCCCGGGGTTCTGCATTATAGCGCCTACACCGCCGTGCCAGCCGCCGCCAGGGGGAGGGGGGGCTGGTTGGACATGCGGGGTCTGCCCCATTTTAGAACAATCCTTCTTGACAGCAGCCACCATTTGGGGGCCTCGATGATGTCCATAAGCAAAAAAAAGTGACACAAGCCAACCGCATGAGCAATATCGTGATTTGCCAGCGCTTGCCAGTTCGTAACGTCACAGAACTTCAGATCGAGGCACGCAGTTGACGGGCTAAAGCTGCTGGGGTGGAGGGGGAGGCAAAGGGGGGGGGGCAGCGAGCCGAGCAAACATCGGAACCCACCAATCGTTGGCGCAAGCCGACACCTTAAGCCGGTTTGCCGACTTCGCTCCGAATTTGTTCGACTGGAAGGCTTCCAGCCTCTCCAGGTCGGTGGCGCTGACGGACTCAGATGGGCTCTTCCGGAGCGCCTGCAATTCATCACGATCGTCAGGACTAAACACTCCATCATCAGGAACAGCGGGTTCAGAAGCTTGTTGTAGGTTGCGCGCAGACTTCTGAGCAGCCCGCACAGTCTGCCACTCACTGAAGGGGACTCGGGTCTGGTCACCAAGCTTGCACAGGTCATTGTCGTCAATGGTGTGGATGGTAGAGAGGACGCTGGGGCCGAAACCAGATGAACCAGCTTCAGCACCAGGAACATCATGCACAGCAGAAGCACCATGGGGCTGAGGGCAAAGGTACGGGGAGCCACACTTACTGCACCAGGCGTTGCCCCAATGGTCGTACTCCCAGTGCCAACACTGACTGCACACGTTGGAGCTGTACTGCTTGGCAGAGGAGCCCTGGACGCCGCGCGATTCCCAGTTACCTCCAACCCGACCACGGAAAGAACGTTGGCCAGCACGCCAGCCAGCACTTCTTCACCCGCGAGGCGCCATCGCATGCACCGCTGCGGTGAGGACGGACGCTCCTCCAGGAGTTCATGAACCGGTGTTGGGAAGTGAAGGAGCAGGCCCCTTGAGCCAAAATGGCTGCGGGGAGGGAGAGGAGGAGGAGGAGGAGGAGGAGGAGGAGGAGGAGGAGGAGGAGGAGGAGGAGGGCGAGCAGAAAGGCCACGGCCACTTGGATGCCTTGCGGAGTCTTTTCAGATTTCTTTCGAGAGTTTCTTGAGGTCCTCATGGTGCGTCTTGAGGATCTCTTGGTGGCCTATTGGGGCGCCCTGGTCCCCCCCAGGAGGCCCAATTGTGGCCAAAACCTGAGTACAACCAGTGATTTGGCATTCTCTCTGAGGCCTGCAGTGGCGTCTTTGGGGCCTCTGGGGGGCCTCTTGGAGCCTCTTGGGGGTCTCCTGGGAGCCTCTTAAGGGCATCTTGGGGGCCTCTTGGGGACCTGTTGGGGCCTCGTGGGCACCGTTTGGAACCTTCTTGTTCAGGGGCTATATTGGAGGAGATAGATCAGAGGAGGGGCCGTAATACATTAGGGTCTCCCCCTCGGAGGCCCACATGTGGCCAAATTCTTCTGGTACAGTGAAATATGTTGGCCGTCTCGCCGAGGCCTCTGTTGGCGTTTTTGGTGTCTGTTGGGGCCTCTTGGAGCCTCTTGGGGCTCTCTGGGCAGCCTCTTGGGCGCCTCTTGGGGATATAGCGAACCGTCGGTGATCGGCCCGATCGTTTCTGTTGTGTTCCGGAATTCTTCTGGAGGTTCTAGGGGACCTCATTGCATCCAGAAGCCCTCTTGGGAGCCTTCCCTTCATACAAACTACAAACAATATTACAGCTTCCCGAAATCATTGCAACCGCTTCGGCCCGATCGCAACTCGTCGTGATAAGTCCGATCTAGCGATAGCGCGATTCCCAAGTAACCGCGGCAGGCATTTTTCGACTCTCCCCCCCATTTCGGCGAAGGTAAATCACTTCCCGCCCCTGAAAGGAATGTCCCGTCCCCAGAACTTTCAGTGCGGGACTGCTGCGGCCCAACTCCGTAGCCAGTGTGGCTGAAGCCCAGCCGCGGGGCGGAAGGCCCGCGCTCGCGCCTCCTCCCCCCCCGGGCTGCGCCGCCCCACGGCCCCGCCACTGGCGCATGCGGAGGCAGGAGGCGCCAACTGTGCATCAGCCGGACTACCGCTCGCCGAGGGACCACGTGTCAGGCCATTCTCCCAGGGAGAGCCAGCCGCTGGGCCTGCTGCGGGAAGGACGACCACAGCCTCCCGCCGCCCTGCGCCCCGCTGCAAGGAGAGAGGCCCCCGGCGCACGAGTCCCTCACCGCGCCCGGGTGGAGCAGGAGGCAGAGATCAGGGCCGCGTTCGACGCCGTCGCAGTGGATGGCAGGTGCGAGGTCGGCTATCGCGAGCTGAAGGCGGCGATGCGGGCTCTCGGGCTGCCGACGCGCAAGACGGAGGTCCTGCGGGCGCTGCACGAGCAAGGCTGCCAGGGGCCCGAGTACCGCCTCGGGCGCGAGGAGTTCGCTGAGGCGCTCCGGCGGCGCTTCGCGGAGCAGGATCCGCTTGACGCGATGTTGAAGTCATTTCGGCTTTTCGATCAGCAGGGAAGCGGAAGGATCCAGCTCTCCGACCTCCAGCGCGTCGCGTTCGACCTGGACGCCGAGCTGGGCACAGAAGCGCTGCGGGAGATGATCCGCCATTTCAATCTCCGACGAGACGGGGAGATAGACGAGACGGAGTTCATCAGGGTCATGTCGTCAACATCGCTGTGGTGAAGCGGCAGACGGCTTTCCGCGCGCAGGCCCAGGGATCTGGGAGGGCCGCCCCGCCTGCACGGGCGGCCCGTGGCTCCCTGCGCCCGCTGGCGCGCGCGCCACCTTTCGGACAATGCCCAGGAAGTTGAATTCGGCCAATGCGGCGAGCAGCCCGCTGCAGCCCCGCGCGAGGCAGTGGCTCCGGCGCAGCACGAGGTGGTCGTGTCGGGTCTGGCCCCACGCAGCAACATCCCAATGTCCGAGCACCGATCCACCACAGCCAGGGGGTCCTTAGGAATTCTGGCGGCCCTCGTACGGCGCGTGCTTCAAGCACAGCAGTTGTGAGAGGGCGTCGAGAAAAAAAAGGACTTCTGCGGCCCACTCCCCGTTTCAGAGTGCGCAGGTCTGAGCATTCTCTTCTGATGTACGCACGGGGGCGGCCCCGGATCCAGATTCGGATCCGGATAGGGGTTATGTAACTCCGTGGCCCCAATCCGCGCTCTTGTGTGCATAGACATGCCGAAGCCTATTAATTGATGTACGCACGGATCTGGACCTGGATTCGGATCCGAGTCCGTGATCCCAATCCCCGTCCCTGACTACACATGTCTCAGCTTTCTCTTCTGACGTACGCACGGGTCTGCACCCGGCTTCGGATCCTCAATCCGATCTGGATTGGGATTTGTAAATCCGTGATCCCAATTTCCGTCTCTGATGTGCGCAAGGATTTGGACCCGAATTTGGATTTGGATCCAAATTTGGATAGTCCAAATCTTGTGATCCCGCCCTTGAGTGCACAGGTCTACGGGTATTCTTCTGATGTGCGCACGGTTCCGGATCCAGCTGAAGATCCAGATCCAGATCCAGATTTGGATAATGTGCATCTGTGTTCCCACCCCGCTTCCTGATCGCGCAGGCCGAAGTTTCTTCCTCTGATGTACGCGTGGATCCAGACCTGGATCCGGATCGGGATCGGGATAATCTGAATTCTTGATCCCCATCCCGCCTTTGAGCGCTCAGGGTTACGTTTGTTTTTTTTGATGTACGCACGGATGTGGACTTGTGTTCAAGGGAGGAAGAACCACCCGGACCGGACAATTGGCGTTTACTAAACGGCCTTGGGCGTTTACTAAGCATTCCGACCCTCTTTGATTCCTTTTCTGTGTGCGTTTACTAAACGGCTCCGCGTGTCGAGGTGGTTATTAGCGGGGTGGATCCGTGATCCCAATTCCCGTCTTTGAGTGTACAGGTCTCAGTTTATTCCTCCGGTGCGCGCACGGACTAGGACCCGGATCTGGATCCGGATCTGAATCCGGATAATCGGGATACATGATCCTTTCCTGAGCCAATTGGACTAAGGTTACTACTCTGATGTGCGCACGGGTCCGATCCTGGCTCCAGATCTGTGAAACGTACCATCCTTTGTAAGCGCACCATCCTTTCGATTGGGATCCTGGAATCGAGTTGGATTGACGACAGATCCGAAGATGACAGTTGGTGGTCTTTCATCCCCGCAGGGATATATTCTGTAGTGGGATTGAATGTTTGGCCACCGTTGAAACCCTTCGGTTACCTCCCACGCCTCCCACTCTGGTGCATTCTGCCAGCAGGTGGATTTTAGTTGTTTCCTCCTTTCTTCGAAGGCCAAAAACAGCAGGTTCTCAGAGCCTGGCTTGACATCTTCTGGCACCTTCGGTGTGTACGAAGGAGTCCCAGAATACGACCAGACATAGTGTATCTTTGCAATCAAATGGTACGCGTGATGCTTTCGCACAGTCGGAAACAGAGGTGTCGTTCGTGACAGCGTCGGCCTGCCCCGTGTGGTTGGTTGTGGCAGGTCCTGAAGAGGATCGCCAACCACACGCCGAAACGCTGGGGACGGACTGGACCAGGGGTGCCCGAGAGAGTGGGCAGACTCAGTATTAGACCAGAAAGGAGACCAATGGAAGTTGCGCAGTCAACTGCTTCTCGGCGACCCTGGCGCGGCACAGCCGTTGCTAGGCGAGCCTGAGGCGGGAGTACAACACATTCTTTGTATGTTGCATCAATATGGATATGCTTGGCAAAAAATTGGTTATCAGCCGAAAGTCTCTCCAGGAGCTCATCTTCGGTGGTGCGGCCTTTCTCCCAGCAGTCAGAGAGGTAGCAGTGGTGGCGTTTCCAAAAAGGGGGCTTCGCAGGTGCGCTCTGATTACCCACCAGCGCCTAACGCATGGGTCGGGTGGCTCACACCCCTGGGCCGTGGCTGGTGTCTGCTCAAGGAAAAGGGGGCAATCGCCCGGCTTAGCTGCGTTTGCCCGCGGTGCCACGAAAGAGGGGGCAGTTGTTTCCTCCGTTCTTCGAAGGCCAAAGCAGGAGTATCTCAGAGCGTCGCTTGACATCTTCTGGCACCTTTGGTGTGTACGAAGGAGTCCCATAATACGACCAGACACAGTGTATCTTTGCAATCAAGAGGTGCGCGTGGTGTTTTCGCACAGTCGGAAACAGAGGCGTCGTTCGTGACAGCGTCGGCCTGCCCCGTGTGGTTGGTTGTGGCAGGTCCTGAGGAGGATAGCCAACCACACGCCGAAACGCTGAGACGGACTGGACCAGGGGTGCCCGAGACAATGGGCAGACTCAGTATTAGACCAGAAAGGAGACCAAGGGAAGTTGCGCAGTCAACCGCTTCTCGGCGACGATGGCGCGGCACCACCGCTGCCAGGCGAGTTTCAGGCGGGTGTACAAATAATGCTGCGAATGTTGCACCAACATGGATACGCTTGGCAAAAGACTATGTTGGTTGCTGGTGCATTCTGCCCGCCGGTGTATGTTCTGGTCTTGATTCCCAGTGTTTTTCACCATAAGTTCACATTGACCTCCAGCTTGCGAGTCGTTGCTGGCAACCTCCTTGCAGGACAGCGAACAGGAACTGTCATCGTAGGGTCGCCAGGCAGCAGCCGCCCGATTTGTGCATTGCGACTCGCGCTTGGGCGGTTTTGTCCGATACGTGCTCTGGCCATCGCTGGAAATCTTTGCAGCGCTGAAAATCCCACCAGACCTCCGATTGAGGAGTCCTTGATGGAAACCTTGTTGCAGTACCTCAACAATTGAGGAATATGGCAGGAAACTCGCACTCTTGGACCTCCGAAGTCCTCAGACTGCGCAAAGGCATGGCAAGATCGCCAGAGAAGGGCCCGGTTCCAAGGGGGCGTCAAGACGGCTTAACAGGGCACCGTGACTGCCGACGGTGCCCTTTCCGTAACCAGTTTGGCTCAAGGGGTCAAGTTTTTTCTGACTCGAGCCGTTGATTGAGTTTTTGGGCAGCTCAAACCTGAGTGTGTTCGGGCTGAGGCTCCGAGGTGAACGGTGCGCGCAGATGGAGACGGATCGTGATCCGCTCATTCGTGAGGAAGCATCGGCCACGACGGTGACCAATTACCAAAACGAAGTTCCGCATGGCGCTGTTGCCGCTGATCGCCATGTCCGCATCTATCCTTGCGGCCCTTTTTCTGGAGTGCCCGCACGGCCGAGAGACCGCTGTATCTCTCAGGTATACGGCGAATATTTCCCAAACGTGGTACCGTTTCCGCAGCTTGCCAGGGACCTCATCGAGTCTGTTCTGGATCAGGCAGAAAAACATTGGAAGACATGGGCCATGCTATGACGTCAGCAGAAGAGTCAGTCAGCCTTCCGTCTGTGGCCTTCCAGTTCTTCGAGTACGCCAGCTTCCCAAACCAAGAGCAGGGCCGATCCTTGGCCGCTGCGGGCCGCGAAAGTTTTCAGAAGATGATGCCCGACTCGAACGGCTGGGCAGTGGAGGGCGGTCTCGGAGATGTTGACCCCGACCTCCACTGGTGTTTGGATGGTGAAGAGCGCACTTCTTCCGCTTCCTGTCCACAGACGCGAGTAGATCATGCATGCGAGTTCGTCGGCTCGGAGCAGCTGGCCGGCGAGGAGCAGCTCCACTTAATCTTAAAATGCCCAGTAGAAGACGAGCCCGCTAAGTTCCAGGACTTGCACTGTTGGCAGCACAAGAGAACCACCATACCGTTTGCGATCTTGATGCCCAATGGGACGCTGAATATGTTCGACCTCAAGGCTTCCAAGATACTGGGTGAGGACACTGCCCCGGTGATGGAGGCCGATATCGAGACGAAACAGTTAGGGTCGTCGGTTGCGCAATCGTCCCGGCCTTGCGGCCTGCAGGCTGTTACGGACAGCGATCGCGGATTCCAGTATGGTGCTCAGGATCGTTTCCAAGTGGAGGGACTTGGAGCCAGCACAAATTGAACTCTTCAAGGCCTGTGCGGCTACCGACACGCCCGAAGTAGTAGACGAGGAGGACGTCGCCCAGATTGCCCTTGCCGCCAGCGGGCCGCCCTCGCGTGTGCAGAGGTTCGCCGCCTACCTGCAGCGCTCCGACTTCCCATCGGGAATGCCGGACGCGTGTCGTAGCAACTGCCCAGAGCTTGTGGATCAGATGGTGGACCTCGCGAATGGCCACCCGGGGCTGTCGTGCGACGACAGGTCTGCGCGCGACGACGCCCTCGAGTTGCTGGGCTGCTGGTTCGACCGGGCGGCGCCCTCGTGGAGGGGCCGCGCGAAGCTCCGGGGAGTCTGCACGCAGAGCAAGCTTGGATCCATCATCCTGGCTTACGTCAACTGCACCACGCAGCCTGATCTTGAAGACGTCAGAAGATTGCTGCACGCGGGTCTCGGAGGTTCTGTTTCGAAGGCTGCCATCCGCGCGACGAGCCCGTCAACGATCAGCCTCAGCCAGCGACATGAGTTGGTCGATGTGAACTTGAATGGTGGCGACGACGACGGCGAGGACGTAACAACCTCCTCTGGCGGTATCAGGAGACTGGCACCCCAGAATCCGTTCAAATGCTCGCAGGTCATCAACCCGCCTCCCATACCTGGACCTGCGTGCCCGAATGGCGGCTTGGAGAAGTACAGCCAATGCTGGCACTTTAGTAAGAGGGGGACGAATTGCGGCGAAACTTGCCTCCTACAAAACTCGTATTACATTGATTTGTCGTCAACAGTTCGCTTGGTCAGGAGCCCATCATTCCGCAGTTGAAACCCTTAGGTGACGACGTAGATAAGCGGGGACCGTGGGCACCACTTGAGGCTCTGTGCTCGGCCGGCGACGAGCATTTTTACCACGCCGCTAGCATAGTGCCGCCCAGTGACGCGACAAGGGATAAATTCGACGAGGAGCCCTCCATCTTCACAGACGGCCGTTGTCAGCTGTCATGTCCTTGCCAGACACCTGAGCAGCAGCAAGATGAGTTGGCGGTGCTCCAGAAGTTTTCCGGCGCGGGTGGCCATTTCCCTTTGTCCAATTTGGCGTGTGTTAGCATAGAAGTCAAGGTTTCACAGCGGGCGAAGCTCGCACTGGAAATTGCTCTGGGTCCTATCTTCTCTTTCGCGGCATCAGGAACTGGCGATGTATTGAAGACGTTTCCAATCATTCCCGCTCGTCCATTTTACGGTGCAGTCACAGTCTCGGGCCAGATTCTGGTTGACGTATTAAAGTTTGACCCTCTCGACCCAGACAGAAGCGTGCGCTTGCTTGGTTGGTTCGGCCTCGCTAGAGTTTGATTCCGGCATCGATCTTAAGATCATTCAGATTAGTTTGCCGAAGGCGGGATTGGAGGTCGGTGTCAAATACGACCCGAACATTCCAGGCTGCGCTGCAATCGTGTACGGGATGATCTTTGTTCAGTTTCTGATTCTCAAGTTGTCAATGGAGCTTCAGTGCCACGCACAGTTTCAGGCATTGAGTTTGCACCTGCACTTGTCGGTTAACATCAATATCCTGTGGTGGTCTATCACAGAGGATATCGGGTCTTTTAGGCTGATAGGATGCTCCAAGAGCCCTTGCAGCTCCCCGTACCCAGGCATGTATGTAGATACCTTCCGCGGCCGGTTTTTAACTATTGCGAAGGCCTCACGGCCATCCCGCCCATTCCTCCATCATTGTACTCCTCCCCATCGATCCGAGGAGGAGAGCGGGCAGGGGACAGCCCTCTGGGCCCGCACTCGGCTCTTCCCCTCCCGCCCGAGCCCGTCCAGAAGTGCGACCGGCAGAGGGGCGGCGGGCCCTCTCTCTCTCCAGGGCCCGCGGCCGTCGCTGCCCGCCGCGCAGGCTTTGAATGCTGCGACCGTGGCGCCGGGAGGGCGCCAATGAGCGTTCAATTGTTGAAGGGGGGCGTTGTCATTTTCCTTTCCTTTCTCTCTCGCTCTCTCTGTCTCGTCGGCGTGGCCGCAGCGACGGCCCTCTGGAGCGATCGGAGGGGCCTCGGAAAAAGTGACTGCAGACGATGCCCCAAGACCAGCCCAAGAAGCCCTCAAGACCGCCCCTAACTGCGGGCTTCAAGAGCCGCGCGCCCAACACGGCCCTTAGGACCTCAGAGTGCGTCCTTGGACGGCCCGGAAGATCCCCAAGAGAGCCCAACATGGGCCAAAGACAAGTCAAGAGGGCCCCAAGAGGGCCCCCAAAGCGGCTCAAGATGTCCTAAGGGCGCACTCGAAGGAACACAGCACGGCCCAAGTGATCCAAACATGGCCTCAACACGTCCTCAGGAGGGCTCCATCACGGCCTCAAGAGGGCTCAGCATGGCCTCAGCACGTCCAAGTGAGCCCAACATGGCCTCAGCACGTCCTCAAGAGGGCTCCAAGACAGCCCAAGAGGCCCCCAAAACGGTCCCAAGTTTTTGTCCGTAGCCATTTTGGCTCAAGCTCTTTCGTGGTCTCAGTTTGGTTGCTTGCTGTTGTCATTGTTTTGCCTCGGGGGGACCCCGACAGTCCGTCGATCGAACCTGCTGGAGGCGGGGCGGGCCGCCAGAGCAAGCGTCAGAGAAGATCATGGCAGCCCTCTTGCGCCGCGCCCTCGCCCGCGGCGGCGCCGCACCCTCGGCTCGCGCAGCCAGCGCGGCGTCCCCGCGCGTGGTCTTGGAGGAGAGCGCCAGCAAGCTGGAGACGGCCATGCTCAGCAACGTGCGGTGCTCGCGGTGCTCGCGGCACGAGCTGCTCTGCACCTTCAAGTCGCCTCTGACGGGCACGCGCAACCGCCACAGCCTGCAGTACAGCACGACCGAGCATCTGACCGCTGTTCCCAGCCATGGCGACGATGCCTTCACGGATGCGTCGAACGTAAAGGGGAGCGGAGACGGCATTTGGGTGTTCATGAGCCACGCTTTCCACACCGAGGCTACCGTGTACCTGCGACCCGTGGAGCACCGCCACATCGACCCCTCGGTCGGCTGCGTGGCCGTGTACGCCGCCAAGGACTTGGTGGTGGGCGAGCCCCTGACCTTCGACTGCACGCTCAACGAGTGGGAGATGTCCACGCCCTTCACGTGCCTCTCCACCGGCCGCACTGTGCAGGGCTTCAAGCACCTCACTGAGGAGGAACAGCTGGCCGCGATGCCGCACGCGTGGGCGCACGTGAGGCAGATGTACGACGAGCACCGTGGCATGGGCGCGTCGGTGACCAGCCTGCGCCTCGCGGGACCAGAACACTACTAGTGGCTCAAGAGTAGGCAGGAGTGACAGGGATTTGCACGGGGCTCTGCCCAGCGCTCAGGCCTTTGTGAGTGCCAGAGATGGTTCTCTTCTGCAACAGGCTCGCCACACCCCACACACACACACAAACACACACACACACACACACGCAAAAATACACGCTCCCATGTCTAATATGCCCTGCCCAGCTTCGTGGAGCGCAGCTAACGGGCGTTCTTGTTCAATGTTCTTGTCATCTATACAATTTACAATTACCTGTCGCTCTCGTCCAGATGTCACCTGGTATGTCATGAATATTTACGGCGAACAGCCGTTATTTGTGGTTGCTTTTCGGTGATTATGCTCCTCTCTCGCATGTTGGTTCTCGGCCTGTACGGAAAAAGGCGGCAAGACCTGCTGCCCAGAGACCGTAGCCCCATTTTGTGCCGTGATCGAAGGCGCTGAACAAAAAAAGAACACGTTCCAAGTTTTCCAAGACGGCCCAGGCTGCTCCGAAGACGGCTCCAACAACGGACGCCGAAGACCCCCAATACCGCATTTCCAGCACTCGTCCACGAAACTTCAAGACGGCCCATGGACGGCCGGAGGTTGCTTGGGAGCTCTTCAACAATGCTCTTGGCCCCCGCAGCCGCGCCCAGGAGTTCTGGCATCTCTGGCGGGACCCTGCCAGGACCTTGCAGGGGTATTTCTCGTCCAGGGGCCCCCAGGGGCAGCGGCCGCCACGCGCGCGCGAACCAGAAACATTCTTAAACCCGTGCCGGAGATTTTAGCACGCCTCTGGCCCGTTCGGCTGGCGATTTCAAGTCGTTATTGTTCAAGTTGTCCCGAGCGCTCGCAGATTTACCCGTCGGCCCGCAACTCACCGCCTCCTGCGTCCTCGCAATGGCTCTGCGTCGCTTCAACCAGGGTGGCAAGAAGCAGAAGGAATCGAATGGCCTTCGGCCCATCCCGCCACTGTGCCTGGGTTGTGAGTATGAAGCATGGGATCTCGTGGGAGGCCTCTCGGGGGCCTCTTGGAGGCAGTTTTGAAGCCTCTTGGGGGCTGTTTGGGGGCCTCTTGTGCGCCCTCTTGGGCCACATCCAACACTCAGCAGAATCCATGAGTTGTGCCCCTTGGGAGACCTCTTGGTTGCCTCTTTGGGCTTCTCGGAGGCCTCTTGGGCCGTCTGGGGGCCATCTTGGACCGTCTTCGGGGCCTCTTGGGGCCCTCGGAACGCTTAGCGTGTACAGTCAGTTGGGCCCCCCCACCTCCCGTCTTCGAGCCCTGCTTCAGCTTTCACTTCGCGTGGAACCCACTGTCGAAACTCGCGCCCCAGAAACCCGCACACGCCATCCATCGACACTCGACCGCAGGGGCCATCTTGGACCGTCTTCGGGGCCTCCCGGGGCCCTCCTGGCCCGTGTTGGGGGTCCTCCTGGGCCCGAACGAAGGTTCTGCGCCGAGGTGCTGGGCACCCCCAGGTGGGCACGCGCCAAGCCCCGGCAGGTTTCGGACATTTCGGGTCCAGGCCCCTGAGGCTTCCTCGGGAGCGAGGGCTGAGGCTTACAGGAGTAGGCTTAAGACGGGCGTGTCCCCCTGCAGGTGGATTTTCGACGGAAAAATAAAGTACCCCCAGAATATCCCCAAATGCCCAAAAATACTCAAGAAGTGGTCCCCGGACTGTTTTTGGATTATTTTGGGGGTATTTTTAATTTTTCGTTGAAAATCCCCCTGTAGGGGGACAGGCCCGACTCAAGAGTAGGCAAAGGATCTGAGGACACGCCCACTGCGTGAATAGCGGCACGGTAGCGGATTGTCCGAAGAGCAGAAGCAGGAAATCAAGGAGGCGTTCGATCTGTTTGACACGGACGGTTCGGGTGAGATTGATTCTAAGGAATTGAAGGTGGCCATGAGAGCCCTCGGGTTCGAGCCGAAGAAGGAGGAGATCCAGAAGATGATCTCCGACGTGGACGACGACGGAAGCGGGACCATCGGATACGAGGAGTTCCTTAAGATGATGACGCACAAGATTCTGAACCGTGACCCCAAGGACGAGATATTGAAAGCTTTCAGACTATTCGATGACGACGAGACTGGCAAGATATCCTTCAAGAATCTGAAACGCGTGGCGAAGGAGTTGGGCGAGCGGATGACGGATGAGGAGTTACAGGAGATGATCGACGAGGCCGACCGGGACGGCGACGGGGAGGTGAACGAAGAGGAGTTCCTCCGAATCATGAAGAAGACAAATTTGTTCTGAGTTGTAGTTCGAATCATCACATGTCCGTTCTTCCCCCATAGCATGATCTCGAGGAAGCCATCGCCACAGCGCGCTTGGCCAACGGCACGGTTGCAGCTTCCCACCCGTGCAATGACGATAATTATTTGGATTGGAGGCCCCCTTGGGCCGCACAAGTATCCTCCTCGAAGTGCAAACCACGTGGCGCGCGGTGCCGTTTGACCGACCGCCAGTGAAGAACACAAAAAAGATGTCCGACATTGCCCACTAAGGCTCCAAGAGGACTGCCAAGACGACCCCAAGAGGCCAATACCACAGCTTTCCTGCGGGGGTGTGGTGATTTTTAGCGCGCTCGCCAATTCGGGCTTCAGATGTTCCACGACAGAGGGCCGCCAATACGGTCCAAACGGCCACCAAGCGACCTAAAGAAGGAGCCCCGAAGGGAAACCCGAACGGATAATGTTGCCCCGACCCCAAGATGGCCCCAAGAGGCCTCCAGAAGCAGTCACCAGAAGCCCCCCGAAGCCCCAAACTGCCTCCATGAGGCCTCCCAAGACGTCCCCAGAAGCCCTTGAGAGAACCCCCAAGAGGACCCCCAGACGACCCCCAACTGGCACTCTCGAAGCAAAACGATACATTCCCGAAGGTTTTGCAAGGACTTCAGCGCTCCCGCCCTGTCACGCTTCCAGCATTCCAAGACAGCCCAGGAGGCCCCCAAGGTCGGTCCAGAACGGCCGGACATGACCCCAACAATTCCAAGAAGGCTCAACAATGTGACCCCGAGACGGCCCACAGGCCCACAGGCCTCAACAGCCTCCCATACAGTCCGACGACTTCCAAGAGTACCCGAAAGGCCTCCACCCTCTGCAAGACCGCCAAAATCGCCTCCAAGCCGACCCAAGACTAGCCCAAGAAGCCTGGCGACTTCCCGCAATTCAAAGTTTGCCTACACATGTTCGACTCCCTTCGGTGAGGGCCCAAAAGGCCCCCAGAGAACGTACACACTCAGGAAGCCGAAATTATTGTTGGATGTCCGTTCATGGGGGCCTTGAATTGAGACGTTAAGGTAAGTTTTGTTTTTTCTGCATGTGAACCGTATTTGGACAGTACTTGGCCCTTGCTCATGCTCCGCCCCGCTCTTCCTGTTCCCTCTCTCCCCGTTCTTCTCGTTTCCCGTGCGAAGTGGCGATTCCAGTTCGAAGCCGATCCCACATGTTCCGAATCCGGTCCAATTCAGGTCAAACTCGGACAGCGCGGGGGCCGCGTAAGTTCCCACGGAACGGACACCAAATCATTGAAACACATGTTTCTCACGCGTCGCGTAACCCCACCAGCACCGCCTGCCGCTGGCGCTTCCGCCTGCGGCTGTAAAAAAAAAAGTAACCCCACCAGCGTGGAGCATTTTGCTCAGTGCATGTGCACCGCACGCTTCGCGTGCAATTAGCCTTGATCCGTAGTCCCGGACATCGCATGTTGCCGCCAGACCGTGGTCGCGCGGCCGCCGACCAAATATATATATATATATATATATATATATATATATATTCCCACCAGCCCATTCAGAAATCTTGCCGACGAGAGCGGACGGGAAAAGCGACGAAGAAACCCATATAGTGAAACAAGGCGGGCAACCAGGGCCAACAGAGAGATCTTGAGGGCAAGGGGGTGGCCGTGGAGAGCCTCTTCGGGCCATCCCTGGGGCCCGCTTGCGGGCCAGGGAAGTGGGATGAGGAGGAGGAGGAGGAGGAGCAGGAGGAGCAGGAGGAGGACGAGGAAGACGACGACGACGACGACGACCACGACGACCACGATGAAGAGGAAGAGGATGGAAAAGGAAAGGAAGACGATGATGGCAAGGACGACGAGGAGGAGCAGGAGGACGAGGACAACGAGGAGGAGGACAGAGCCTCAAAATCGCCTATTGGAGCCCTCTTTGGGTCGTCTTGGGGTCCTCTTGGGGCCTCTTGGGGGTCCCTTGGAAGCCCTGCAGAGCCTCTTGGGGCCATCTTTAGGCCATCGATCAAAATGAGGGGGGGGTCTGCGATTCCCCCCCCGGGGACCATCAACATCGCCTCTTCGGGCCAACTTGGGGCGCTCTTGGGCTTATTGGGCGCTCTTGGGGCCGTTTTGGGAGCCTCTTGGGCCTCTGCTGGGACTCTTCTCTGCCATTTTGGGACAATATCGAGGCCTCAACAGCGCATCGGAAGTGAAAAGGTGAGAAGGCATACATCGGTGATTGGCCTTCGGTTTCTGAAGGAGTTGGGCCTCTTCCAGGGGTCCTGAGGGGGTTCTGAGAGCACTTGGAACCGTCTTGTGGTCCTCGTCGGGTCTCTTGGAGGTATGTCGGAAGCTATCCTGAATCATCTTCGGCTATCTTGAGCCGCCTTGGAGGCCAACTTTCAGTATCGGGTGCCCTCTTGGAGCCATCTTTGGCCATGTTGGGCGCCCTGACACCTCTCGGCTCGCCCCGCAAAAAAAAAAAAACTCAGGGAGGGGAGGGGAAGGGTGCTCCCCCTCGATCGGAATAAGGTTTTGAAACAGGACAGAACCATATCATTTGACCATCTTAGTCCAAAGGGCTGGTGGGATTGATGTCGGAAGTAGTTGGTGTGATCGCCTGATCGGCTTTCGCAGCCTCCAAGATGCCGGAATCTTCCCAAGATGTCACTAGAAGATCTTAGTACAAGGCCCGATGTAGCCCATTCCAGAGTAAACCGACACGATCCAAGAAGGCTCACGGGGAGCCCTACAAGCTCCCGCAATGTGCACAACAAACTTGCTGCAAGAACGAGTTCCGAGACGGCCCCACGAGAGCCCGAATAGATCGAGAGTGTTCAATCGTGGCCTCGAGAAGCTTTGAATACAACCAAAGCGGGCCCAGCTACAGCCGCGATGGGTTGGGCTGGACGTCGAAGCAATCTCAAAA